AGATGTAGATGTCTAAGGCGCTTATTACATTATCCAATTTTTAGAAAATCTAATTAGGAACCTAAGTTGGAAGCTAGTGATCACATTACACTAAATTGAATTCTAAATCGTGACGAAGCACATTCGTAAAAGAAGTATCGACGGCGTTGCACGTTTGATCGATGGCGCCGTATTTACCAAAACAGCAGAAAATAGGACTTGCCTTAGCCGTGGTGGGAACAATGGATATTAAAAAAAGAAAAAAGAGAATAATAGAGAATTCTAAAAATTGGATAAAGCGCTTATTACATTATTCAATTTTTAGGAAATCTAATTAGGAAATTGGAAAGTGTAATCATAGTTAGAACAGTTAGGATCCGATTTAGTTAAAGTTGGAGGTCCCGACCGCTCTACTTTCTAAATTGTCTACAATTTAGGACAGTGTAATCGCAACGTTACGATTTAGAACGACCAGTCGGCGCCCGCGCTTCGACCTAAGTGGGTGTCTTGACTGCGAGTGCGACATTTTTTTGCGATGGCGAGTAAAGCGACAGAACTGAGCAGTGGTTCGTGTGGCAGCATGTCCACAGAAAAAGAGGTGTTATTACAAATTATAGACCTGTATATGGTAAATGCCCTATTTGTATAATAAAAATGATGAAAACTATTTAAAAAAAGCAATGCGTGAAGAGGGCTTCAAGGTGTTGTTAAATATTTACAAATACAATGACAAGTATTCCTTAACCCAGCATGTTCTCTTTTATCTTTTTTTAATATCCATTGTTCCCACCACGGCTAAGGCAAGTCCTATTTTCTGCTGTTTTGATAAATACGGCGCCATCGATCAAACGTGCAACCCCGTCGATACTTCTTTTACGAAAGTGCTTCGTCACGATTTAGAGTTCGATTTAGTGTAATGTGATCACTAGCTTCCAACTTAGGTTCCTAATTAGATTTCCTAAAAATTGAAAAATGTAATAAGCGCTTAATGTAATAAGCGCTTAAGGGCCACAACATCCATTTAATATCAGGATGGACTACGAGTATGTGCTCCTTTGTCACCGTTATTATATAAAAAAAATCAAAAATATCCAATTTATTCACGGCTATTTTACTTTACGTATCAAAAATTCATTAAATAACCGTACAAGAAGTAAACCAAAGAAAACATCGCGTAAAGCGACACTTTTCCTGTTCATATTGTTAGCCAATATGGATGGGGACGGTAGTTAACCACGAATACGGTCGCATTGTGTGTAATTTCGAAATGTGGGCTTTGCACATTTGCATGTAAACAAGATGCTACATCGCTGCTATAGCTAGAGTGCTTTACAAATTCATGTGAGTGTTACGTTTTATTTCATTACTGTGACTGAAATGCATTACTATATTTACACGGGCAACAATAAAAATTTTAAATTAATTATATCTGTAAATTACAATTTGTATTTAACAAAGTATAAAATCTATATAGGCTGTATGGTACATTAAATTTGACTGTCAAGGTTTAAAATAAATATGAAAGTGCCTTTAAATTTTTAATAGCAATAAAACTTTTAAAAGTTGAAAATCATTTGATTAAGAACATACTCGTACTAGCCTATTCATATGAAATAGGGAACCAATTGATGTAATTCTGGTTAAATTCTGATAATTATTAATTCTGAAAAAATTTAATATTAAATTAAAACCCTTAAAATAAAAAAGTTAAATTTTCAAAGAAAATAAATATTAAAATAAATTCAGTAAAAGTAAACACTCTGTTTAGACTACGTACCTTGACCCCTTGGAAGAGTGGTAACGTTGCACGCGGGTGGCATGGCGGTTAGCGGCAAGCAGCGTTATTGTGGGCACGGTCTTTGATTCGTTTGACAAATTGAAAAAAAACTTACTCACTAAACTGTTTAGGTATTTTCACCGCTACTTTTTTATTTCGCGAAAATGGAACTGAACGAAATAAATATCATTGCATATTAGTTGCAAAATTTAATGGAACCTTAATACCTTTAGGCATTCTCTACCAGTCAAATAATTTAACTTTAGGAAAGAGTCGACGTGTGCACTAATTAGTTATTCCAAGGAGTGGCTGCGTGATCTTGTTACAGGGGATGTAGTGGGTTTCATTCATCCAACCATTACAGCCTTAAAGAGTTCTGTGCTGAACAAAGGCCACACCCATAGATTGCGTCATCTGGTATGAGGGTAGGAATTTTGGACACGCATGGCAGGCGAGAGTTATCACCAAGAATATGCTGCTGTCCATCTCCTATTTTAGTATTTTTTTCTGTCATCTCTTACAATATCCAAAGGAGGAGGTATGTGGATGAGGTAGTGGATATTCTTACACCGCCCCTATACGACTACATAACATGCCTGCAACTACAACATAATGACAAAAATATCACACCTTTGTAATCTCTCTAAAAGTTCTTGGTATATTCGTTGTTTCAGTTTCAGAGCCTAAACTGACAATTTCTCCTGTGTAATGAAGGCATTATACAGACATAAATTACGTAGAGCCGACTCCACTGCGATAATGTTTTGTTACAAAAAAGTACATGTTTTCTAACAAAGTGAGGCCTTTGTAACTTTTTTTTTGTTTGAGTGTAATAAAGTATTTTCTATCTATCTATCATGATTTAAATGTTTGGCCAACCAAAATAAAATGCTACACAAAAGCTTTTTTACGCTATATAAAGGAAGTTACAAAATGGAAACGAGTACCGACACTTTCATTGTCTAGGGGCCTACATGGCTTAAAATAACTCTACTTTCAGAAGCATTGCCCTACCACACGACGACCATTAGAGTATTTTTTTTATATTGGGCACAGTCTTGAATTGCTTCGGCGACTTTCTCATTTCACTCCAGAACTTATTAAGAAACCCGTCTAATCTTCTATTGACGCTGCAAGTCGATCAACGTTAGTATATCGATACCCCGTTTTTCTCCATATCATCTAACATTTTTTGCATTTTAGATTAAAAGCATTTTCGGCCCTTTCATGCTATATAATCGTAATCATTCGTGGATCATAGGTATTACATAGATGTTAGATACATTATTAATGTATTAGGCTTTGTCTATTAGGGCACTGATAAGCGTTTTTTAAAAGATTTAGCATTTTTTATATCTTTGATTTTATTCGGGTATTTTGTAACATACCTTTAGCGTGGCTATACCATATATACCTAGTCAGGTCATAAATTCTGTCACATGTTTAATATAAAATAATTGAAACAATTTTATTCATTATGTAACCGTTTATATACCAAAATGAAATTAACAAAACATAGATTCTTATGACACTAAAGTTTATTCAAAATGACCTCTGTGACTTTGAATACAGGCCTTTAATCTGCGCGGCCAGTCATTTATCGCAGCACGAACGAGGTCAATGTCAATATCGGCGGCTGCCTTAATCAAGAATGGCTTGAGTGACTCCAAATTGGGATGAAGCTTTGAGCACGCCTTTTCCTCCAAGTGTTGCCATATCTTGTAATCGAACGGATTCAAATCTGGACTGGAGGAGGGCCAGTCTTCGTGCCGGATGAAGTCGATTTCACGCGCCGCCAGCCAGTCTTGTGTGCTCTTCGCTCTATGAGCTGGCGCCGAATCTTGTTGGAATACCCAGTGCCTGTTATTGAACATGGTATGAGAAACAGGTTCCACAAGGTTCATCAGGACTGTATTTTGATACACAACTGCATTCGTTTTTACACCTTTCCCACAAAAATGTACCTCTGTTAAGCCCCAATAAGAAACTGCCAACCATACCATGAGCGAGGATGGAAAATGACCTCGTTGGACGTGCGGAATACGGTTGCACGCTTCTTCACTACTGTGTGCGTATACCTTATCATTTTGTTTGTTGTAGCTCTTCTACGGTAAAAATTTTTTCATCCGAAAAAAGAATTTGCCGATATTATTTTCCCGCGTACCGCTTCAACAAAGCGCGGCATCTCTTCAGTCTCAGGTCTATTAGACGAGCATTCAAACGATGTCCTGTTTTTCTTCGATATGCCCGAAGCCCTAAGTCTTCATTTAACACCCTTTTCACCGTGGTTCTGCTTAACCCCATCTGAAGGGCCAACAGTTTCTGCATACGTTTAGGATTTCTTTGAATTCGCGCCTTCACAACTTTTATCACTGCTGGAGTCCTAACAGACCGAGGGCAACCACTTCTTGACCTGTGATCTACACTAGTCTTCATTGAATCGTTTGATGGTACGATAAACGAATCTTTTGGTTATATTAAAATTTTTCAGTATGTCAAAAATTTGAATTGGCCGTAACCGCTTTCTTCTTTAAGCGTCCACTTCATATTTAAAATGAGTAAAATTCTAAAAAGTATACAGTTTTATTTTCATGAACAATTCGAAATTCGAATTCAATAAACTTTTTTGTGGCCAGCATTCTAAAAGAAAAGTTTTTACTGTGTGACAATACTTATGACCTGACTAGGTATATCTCGGCGCACGTCATCGCGCCTCGGCCAAAATGGAGAACGCGTGGGGGCGCGGACCGGTCGCTGGTCCTGCGACAGCGCGGGCGCTTCTGTTCCTCACACAGCTGCGAGACGCAGTAGCAGACGGGCACTTCATTCTTCAATTTATATTATGTTTGTTTAGAGGTTTTACGGCATTAAACCTATTGTCAATACAGTCCACTTATTTTATTTTGTAAAGTCCCGATAAGGCCTCAACATATATATATATATATACAAAGTTTATCTACTCCTTATTTGCTTGCTGAAATTTAATACGAGCTACAGACAATATTAAAATCATTCGGACATTCATTGTGAAATGTTGGAATTAAACATTGAAAATAAACCTCATGTGTCCCGAATATTTATTCAGTTTAACTACATTTAGACCACCATGACCTAAGCAAAGACTTAAAGCCAACTAATTAATGACGCAGAAACTAAGTAATAATAAAAAAAAATATTGTGAATATTGAAATCAACTTTATTTTGATAAATTTAAGACATATTATAAAAACAAATAACCACGTTATTAATATTTTGTCGCGTGTCCTTTAGCAGCAATAACAGCCCGACATCGCCTTGGCATTGATGCGATCAATTTATTGCAAGTTGCAATTGAAATTTGTTCCCATGCTTCTTTAAAAGCCGCATAAAGTTGGTGTACGCTAGTGGTACGTTTTGATGCCACTATTTTCTTGACGCGGAACCACAAGTTTTCAATGGGGTTGATGTCAGGGCTGTACGGTGGCCAATCTAACACAGCTACTGACTGGCTCCTTAGGAATTCTTTGACAACTTTTGCTGTATGTTTCGGATCATGATCGTGTTGGAAAGGCCAAACCACCGGCAAACTTTCCTCAGCATAGGGTAGCATGACTTCCTCTAAAATATTCTTGTACTGTAATTTATCCATGTTCCCTTCTATTTTCTTGATAGGTCCTATACCATGACCAGAAAAACAACCCCAAACTTTAATGTTTCCGCCTCCATGTTTTACTGTTTTCTTCGTGTACTTCGGATCCATTTCTTTTTTAGGAGGACGTATCACATACATTTTTCCATCAGAAGTAATCATATTAATTTTCGTTTCATCAGAATAAAGTACATTTTTCCACTCACGTTCTGTCCAGTGTTCATGTTTTTTGGCAAACACTAATGTAGCTTGGATGTTTTCCTTCTTTAATAGTGGCACCTTACGAGATATTCTTCCGAATAAGTTTGCTTCACACAATCGCCTTCTTATCGTTCTTGCAGACACTCCTCTCAATCTTTCCTCACCAAATATTTCTGAGCGAATCAGTTCTGATCCGTTAAACGGTTCCCTTTTTGCCAACAACACTATTCTTGAGTCTTCTCGTGGGGTTGTTTTTCTAGGTCTAGTCTTCCTGGGCACATTTTCAGTAGTATTAAAGTTCTTAAGATGCCGGATAGCATTCATAACCATATCTTTAGAGCATCCTAAATGATCTGCAATCTTCCTATATGACCAACCATTGCCATAAAACTTGAGGATCGTCTTCCTTGTAGAGGGATCGCAGCTTTTGTTTTTTCCCATAATAACACTAACAAAATTTAATAATTTCTATTAAGTACAAAGCTAGTTTTTATTTTTATTCTATGTACCGTGAAAATTCGCACCAAATGAAAAATAACATAATTGTTTTAACATTATATTTTAAATATAGAACACGAAAAACACACTGTCTTTAATTAGCTGGCCAGCGGTTAACTTGTCGAAAAAGTTTTTATTTTAATAGGAATAAAATCTCAACTATTGCTAAATACACGTTTTTGATGTTTTCATTTTAATAATACGATCTCCGTGTAAATATTAATAACTATGAAATATAATTAATACCTACTTTGGGTACTCTACACGTCTGTAATACTGTTGTGTGTGGTCACACAGAAGAGTGTCTTTAATATCTATCGAAAGCTTTAAGATTTTTCTGGTATTTAGCCACGAGACGAAATGGGGCTATGGATTACCCCACCATAAGGCAATTCACTAAATAATTATGCTGTCTACTACAATTTTCTTCATTGTTTTGTGACGGCGCTGTCGTCGCGCCACAAGCGAAACACATCGAAGCCTGAATCGCACTAACAGTTCCGAAGTTAAAGCAGTATATATAGAATAGCTGCGAACTACTACTCGGACCCCCCCCCCCCCCCCTAGCTCGAGGAGCCTCACTCCGAAATCAGGGGTCGGGGTGCCTCGGGACGGCAGAATCGTTGCACTCAATAGTTCGTAAGTACTCACTTACGAGCCTAATTAGATGAAGCTGTCAAGGCCGCAGGGCCAACAGCATACACATTCAGAAAAAAAAACTACTCGGAGCGTTGGCCGCTCCCCGGACAGAACACCTTGCAAGGCGGGAGATCTCCCCTTTTCCTTCCACCGGACTTTGACTTGTCAGAAACTGACTTCAGAATTTTTTCTACGCCGCGTTGAGGCGGCCACAGGGAACCTATCATCTCATTTCTTGGTGTAGGTGTCGCAAGAAGACTATTGAAGAATTTCAGGTGGGTTTCATGACGCGATAGATATTAGTAGGTATAAACATCACGTTAACACCAGACGCAAAATGCCCAGACCTCGAAGAGCAGGAACAAGTACGAGAAGTCTTATCGGTGATTATGACAACCCTTTTAAAATTAGGAGTACAGCAACATATTTGTCATATAAAAAAGCCGAAATAATTCTATAGAGATAACCATTACTAAGTACCTAAGTGATTCAGAGCCGGGTTGTGAAAAAAAAACACCAAAACAAGATTTAACAATTGATTTTAAATAATGATTAGGGGCAAATAAACGGCTACTAGGATGGTATTAGATTCATTAAAGGTTAAGCAGGAAAAATACACACAAAAATTTAGCAAGAGTTTAATAAAAAAATGCAAAATAATAAAAATATCTCCAAATATTGAACCTTAACACTAGGATATCTGTAGGGTTTACAACATACAAAAATACAAAAAGTACTCGCGTAGGGTATGTTACAATTTATGAAAAATGGAAAATATAAATACAAAATAAGTTTTCGTGACTATGCTTTTATACAGATAATACAAGAGAAATTAATAATGTATGCCAAATTTGACAGACAAAACACATCATTAAACATTTTCCTTAATTCGTTCATGTCATGACAAATACATTAATTAACTTCAAACTTTACCATTATTTATATGTGTAATACCGGGCTACATAAATATAACAGCCAATTTGTGATTTTGGCACCAACGTTCCAATTGAAGCAAATACATCACACATACACAAAAACAAAATTGCTAAAACTTGGAAGGGTTTCGTTCCGAAATCATTTATTGTCACTTCACTACAATGTTACGGAAACAATGCACAAGTGTTGAGTAGTACTTGTGCTTTTGTGCGGAAGTGCATGTTACATTTTAATCCTGGCCAGTGGGAAAAAATTTAATGTTACTAACTTTAGCGTTACTTACTAGAATGCTGCGTCCACACGTAGATATCTTCAGAAACACAACCGACATGTGATTGAGGGCGCTGGAGCTAACTAAATAGAGTTTTTACTGGTGTTTGATACTAAAAATGTAATCATATATGTATACTTTAACTGTTCTGTAATTGTTTTATTGGTTTTAAAGAAATATTTTAAAAAGTGTTAGTTCATTTCTCCGCCATAACGGTTTTACTACCAATCAGAATTTCCAGTAAAAAAAAAACTCAAGATTTGAACCTGGTATTGAACTAGCATACTTTTATGATTTTTTTTATTATTATATACGTCGATGTATTTTTTTTATTATATAAAAGCAATGCCATTGCATAAGACTTGGTGTTTCAAAAGATATATGTACCAAAACAGTGCGCTGTTAATATGTACGTGCTTTAGTAAAAGGAGTGAGTGTAAAGTTTTTCTTATCAACTATGAAGAACGAAACAAATATTTTGTAATACAATTCTTAAGAAAGATATTACAGAATTTCAGTTTAAACTTTATATATACAGTTTCATATTTTGTGCAATGAACTAATAATTTTCCGTTCGAATAATCTGCGGTATTCGTATTTGATTTTGTTTTGTAAATTAATTCTCAAGTGACGGACAAAATTTAAACACTAAAAATGAGCAACTTTTTTATACCACAATTTAAAAAGGTATAAACATTATTAGGTAGGTCGAAATCAATATATATAATTGTTGACTAGCGAACCAAATAACGATTAATTACTAATAATAATTCATTATCGAAATCGAAGAGAGGTTAAAAAAAAGGCTAAATAATAAAATTTTCTTAAGGTGCTATCTCTACATCTAAGAATTGAAGATGAGATTCTCAATTTAATACAAAGACACCAATAACTAAATGTAGTCGAAAGTACCATTAATTATTTTAATAATGAACTCTAGCCGTCTCTAATTACGATATATTCTACAATGATAGCGAGGCTTCAAGGTCTTATTATTACTTTTTAATAATGAAATGATTTTACAAACGACTATATCTTATTGCAAAAGAAATATAATATTATATTAATATAGAAGCGGATTTACATGAATTTTAACATAAATACGAGTGTATCTCTTTACTATCTGTTGGATAATGAATAAATTCATGTTAGCGAGAAAAGATTTTTCTGATGTATAATTTTAAAGATTTAAAAAAAAATCTCAGTGATGATTTATTAATTAAAAATTAATTACTAACAATTTTGATATTATATATCGACATCACTCATTACGAAACAGAACAGATGTATTTGAAAACAATCTCTAATTCGTTATTGACGTTGGCCTATTGACACAATAGCTTCTGTAAAGTATTCCTTGAAACCGCTCCTATTTTCATTAATTTCACATTGGTAATACATAAAATAAATATATTTCAACAATAAATCAATCACTACATAAATAATTTCTTGACGACGAGTATAAACGTAATTCTTTGGCGTTTTGAGCAAAAACGTGATGTTTCTTATGGCATCAACTAGCGGTACTAAACGCTTCCATTACATTTACCCTTTACATATATATATTTATTTATAATGACTACGGAAATATACCTGTTAAGTTACAATTATAAATGTCAATTCCCTAATGAGTAAACGTTATCTATAATTCCTTATCTAGGTCAATACAAAGCGTACGTGTAAATAAACAATATATAATATTTTTTAAATACAAAAGTATGAATCATACAAATAAATGCATTCGATATGGCAATCTTGGGAATGTTACTCTGATGGAAGCGAATACTGACTTAACAGTAAATTAATTAAAGTTAATTCATATACCATTAATACGAAGTTGAGTTGAAATAAAGTTTACAATTGCTTGAATAAATATTTTGGTTATTAAATCAATTTATGTTTAATAATAATTAATTAATAATTATAGCATTCCATTAACAATTCGGCAGTTGACATCGGTAATATATAACTACCTACATAATTTTAATTTTAATTTGCTACTGTCTCTTGATCGGTTTTTGTTTTAAGTTTAATAAAATTCTTAATATAAAAAAAACTAACAAGTAAGACATTTTTATTTGTTAATTGTTAAATATCATTTAGAGAGTTTCTTGTACCTGCAAGAAATTATGACGTCATTTCCGCCTGTAGGACTTTATAGAAGTTTCATTTTAACATTGTATATGTACGTATATACGTGTCAACTGCTCTATTAGTGTAAATATTGTGTATAATCAGTATCACGAAAGACTTCTTGCTCCTAATATGCGAACGAAAATGTAAAGTATGTTATTTAACACCCAAAGGTAGATTCGCGAAAACTGACTTCTTTCGAGATAAAGGTTATAATTTATGTAACAAACTCATAACGTCAATGTCAGAAATGTCAAAATGACAACATCTAAGTCAGTGCCCAATTGTTGGGATGGCTCGATAGATCAAATTATTAACACAGCGTAGCTAGTCCTCACAAAATGTAGCTTGAATATCATGTATATAGCAAGTCGGAATGTCACAGATAATATTTGGTCGGTCTTACAGAGATCATAACATAATGCTAGCGGGATTTATACGTGTAAATAGGGAGCTTAGGGTCTATAAATATGAGGTCACTAATGCTGAGGTTTGTTGCCCAGGATGGTTTAAGCTTTGGCACTTCCTTCTTTGTAATATAAAACTTTAAAAAGTTAAATTTAAAAGATCAAAAAGTTTTAACTTTGCTGGTTTGTTATATCTGACAACGCAGACAATATGCTTCATCTAATTGTATGGTCATCTTTATTTACCTGATATACAAATAGGATTTTATGTAAATTCAAAGATACTAAATCGCCTCACACGGAATTTTCAATGTCTATACCTCAAACCAACAAAGAAAGACGGAAATCTGTGTACTCTTCGGGTTATATCAGACAGGAAGCGGTTACGCGTTCAATCGTTTCGCGTTCGCGTTCTGCGTTTGAACGTTCAGTTGGTCACCAATCCCGCTATTGGAAGATCTACGCGATACCTACTACGTTTTCTGATTACAGTTCTTCATCGGAAGACGAATTATTGATATTGTGGACATTAGCAGCATCAAAACGGAAAGAAAACATTGGGTGCGTCCAGTAAATACGGATAGTGAACAAGATGGAGAATTTCATAGAATGTTTTGTAAATGGCTTTCTGATGAAGAATTCATTTTCGGTCCCCATTTCTCTGGCAATTTCTAACCATGCTTCCACTACGTTTCCTCAGTTTATATCATATAGTATATAGTAATCCTTCTTCATATCATATAAAAAAACCTTTCTCGTACTAACATATTCAACTGCTCGGTCTCCATCTTCCTTCCGATGTGGTCACCGAAACAGCAGTGAACGCGAGAACGCGTGAGGTCTGGTTGACCGACGCGGTCAGAATAAATAAAAATATGCATATAGAAATATGCAGTCTATGTAACGTAATACAACACAACGAACGCAGTACGCGAACGCGGTACGCTTGAACACGTGAACGCCTCCTGTCTGATAGATCCCTTCAAGTGACGCAAAAACAAAGCCAAAAACTTACCTAAACGTATGGTTAAAAACACGTGTGTATACGTGCGTGCGTGTTCTTATCGTGAGCAAATGATTTTAGGCGTACTCATGTACATAAAATCATTTGCAAGCCACATGATTTAGGTGCATATGTGTACTTCCAGCAGTGAACTTTTACGAAATATATGTGCGTGAGTGCGTGTCAAGAAGTAGAACATTGTTTCGACGTCAACTGAAATGTACGCAGCGCAATCTTTCTTTATTAGTCTGAGACACATCTCAGTGTATATTCAATAAGTTGTAATTTTAAACATCACATAAAAAGTAGAGCAACCGCCTACATATGCCCCACGGCTGCACACACTCCACATAGAATAACAATTTTAGTGTAAAATTATACATAAAAGGAGCGGTGAATTAAACATAAGAATGACTTTCATTAAAAAAATCATTTATATTCTATATTGAATTAAAAAAATCTATTTCTATTTAGTGGTGAAACTCGATTGAGTCGTGAACTTATGGTGAAATAAGGCGAGCGGCCTGCGTTATAAGTACAAAACCTAATGTAAACCACAGCTTTAATAACTTCATATTTCTTATTAACAAATGTAATGCCTTTAATGTATTTATACATCGACTATTTAATTACTAGTATAATGCTAAAAATTTGGAGCAATGTGGCGACAGGTCGGAAAAAAGTCCTATAAAATTCTATATTAATGCAGTTACAGTCTGGTCTTGCAGTTCAAAGAGGATGCTATTGTAGAAGGATAAATATAAATGTTATGTCTACTTACATAGTTAAAAATACCCACCTAAATCGTAACTGAGAGCTTTATGTATTGTGCTCCAATAAGAGAGCGGTCATCTCTCGAAGTTTAAAATATTTTATCTCTCCATGAACACCGTTCTCTAAGTGGTAAAGAAAAAATGTACTGAAATCAGCACTTCGTTTACAGATCACATTTTCATTGGCGTTAGCAACCTGATCTGATCAATTTCCAGAGAATAGTTTAAAACAATTTTATCTTATTTTCCCATTCTTAAAAACTGAGGCATTTCAACCACAATCATAAATAATATTGACTAATCATTCCATATGTAACAATGCATTTAATAATAAAGTATCATGATGCTTCACGACAACATACAAGATAACTGCGACGTTCCGTTCCGGTAAAAGGAAAAAGTTTTACAAGTTTTTATTTATTTTATTTTAGAAATCAAAATCTAGGCTATTCTTACGTAATTGAGAAAGTTTTTGTTCACTAGTTCTTTAACTTTTAATCATAATGATAAACGAATATTTTATATAGTAACATTTTCAAAACATTTTCTTGTATATTTTTTCTTAAAAATGGTCAATTATACGATTTCTTAAGTGTTCTCTTCTACAATGCATTTTTATCCTTACCCTGCAAGACAAGAGCAATGGGATCGAGTATCAAAAGATGCTAAATTTATTGTATATGCTATCATAAGTTCCATTAGAATATGTTATATCTGAAATAGGATATGGTATATCAAAGACGGATCTAAATTTCGCCATCTTGCGTTTGCACTCGCATAAGGTAACTTGTATGTAATTTAAATTAAACAAATTGATGGACATAAATTAGAGAAAACAGTAATATTTAAATTTTGGCAATGAGATATTCTCAGTGCTTCAATACCATTTCATTTGGATTAGAAGTAAATAAAGTAAATAAATTCATAGCACCATATTTATATTAACCTGCTATCGAAAACTTGAGTCGTGAAATCTATACAATTTTTTGATTAAGATAATTGATATTTAATTTTTTTTCACATTGCAAATTTGAGATGAAAAGTTAAAGTATATTATTTCAGTTTAGTTTGTAGTATTTTTTTTAATTCGCTCTTAGTAAAATGAACAAAAGGCACTTGATGCCTAAAAGTGCGACACTTTAAGTATGGTATATTATATTACCATAGTATCGGTGCTTTTTGACGATACCGTTATCTATACTTTTATTACAATATCATAGCTCTAATCATACTATATTGGTACATTTGCACTGGAAATTAACATAGAAGTAAGATCTGCAAGTAACAAACGTACATTTCAATTCTATCTATAGTATAAAAACAATAGCGTTGTTAGTCAACTGCCAGCCTTATGTGAGTGTATCGCAAAATATGCTCATAATATATAATATAAGTCATACCTCCGTTATAATAATGCGTTTTATTCACTGACCATAAGCATTAAGTGCGTTTTTATCGGCCTGTATATTGGTGCGAGATTTGAGGCAAACCTGCCTATTACATAGTTTTAATATATAGGGAGCCCCTTCTTGATAATAATTAACCTTTCCGAAATTTGCTACCCCTAACATTCTAAGGGAAAAACACCAGATGTGCTGCAGCGTCTACCTAATAACAAATCAAAATAATAAAAACTGCGGTTGCCAACTTGCCTACCATGCGTGGCAACTATAGCAAATATCTCCTCTATGAGGAAATCTATTGGGGATAAGTCTATGTTCAGCAGAGGACTTGGATATGCTGTAATGGTAAAGGTAATATTCTGCCACCCTAGGTAGAAGCATCATGATGTCTAAGCCTGAATCCGCTATTGTTAATAGAAAATATTTTTATTATAAAAGAACAGTTGCGGGATGAAAACAAAGTCTGCTTCAATCCATACAACAAATATTGGCTGCAGAAGTTCGTAGAAATCTAGATATTTGTACTACTGTACATATGTTTAACCATTATTGGCCCTCGAATAGGTAATTCCAACGAGTATGCCTAACATTTCTCAAAGCCCTCAAGCTATGGTCAGTGCATAAAACAAAATCGCGGTAATGGGGGTGTCGTTCAAAGAGCCTCTAAAGTAGACATTGGTGTTCTATATACGATAAATTATTCTACGTAGGAAGCGTGAGTGACAACCGCTCACTGGTCCCACTCGGATTCATCAACGCCCTCCATACTGTCCTGTTCCAGCTTCAAATTCACTTGGACTCTCGCACTCATTGATTTCATAATCTGCAATAAAAACGTTGTTTCCTTTTAATAAACCTCAAAATTGTAATTTAGTGACATAAAATATGTCAAGTGCCGTGCAGTAAATAATTACGTCTCACTACATTTATCATCTACGTGAAACAATCCTCTGACAAAAAAACTTCTTTGATAGACTGACAGTACCACAAATGTTGACTCAAAGTAAAATTACAAAAGGACCATGTTGTGCAGAAATGTTTCAATCACAAAAACAAAGTTATTCAGATTTGAAGGATACACAGAGTTATTTTGCAATAAGCGACCAAATTCGCAGAAAAGTTTCATAATAATATAGCCAAAAAAAAGTGAAGCAAAATAATAATAAAAAAATCTTAAACATCTATGTAACGGAATTTTGAATGTGATTTGAAACTTCGCACACTTATCAAGGACCGATGACAATACAATAATTTAAAAAGTTTGTCCTATTATCCCTGCCAGGATCCTCAGGATTTGCGAATAATTCCAAAAAGAACTACGATTCCTGCCAGTTCAATCTACTGTAAGCCGCGTAAAAGAACTTCGTTAAAAAAACACGGTATTGCACTCCACACTTTTTTACTATATAATGATATTATTATGTTAATCACTATTTTCTTATTTTAAACTTATTGATAGTTCACTTATCTACAAAAGCGTGTTTTTTTTTAGTCTTTTTTAAACTATTACTTATTATCTTTTAAACTCAAAATACATAGTAATGCATTATTTTAACTGATTGTTATTCATAAATATCTAACGCCTACTATTTTACTACGCACGCACACATCCGTAAGGGTCGCTCAATTAGCGAAAACGTTGTGAATTGAATCGCACACAGAGGAGCGCGTGCACACGTATTTGTTGCCGATAAATCACATTCAATTTGGGATAACTTCAAATAAAAATATTTTATCATTATTTTATATATTAATTGAACCTAAGTTTTTTGGCTACAATTACTTGTTATATATATTTTTAATATTATGTACATACCAATAATTGTCTTTGGCACTCAGGGATTGACTGGGCAAGAATGCCACATGGCATTAAGTCCACCCTATATACCCTTAACTTTAAGGTGTTACATATAAGGTTTTAAATTAAAAAATAAAATAAAGATCAACGCATTTTACTGTGGCAGAATGTGGCCTTTTTAAAGAAAATTGAATAATAATGTCCCCCCCCCCTGACCATGGGTTGCTGTAAAGTACCCGAAACGTCGGGTATTAAAATAAATAAATTAAACGCGATAAAACCCGTAAAAATAGTTTTATTCAATTGAATGAAGGGATTATGTGATATTTTTTAGAAATATTTCATGCTTTGAAATGAACTGAAAAAGAGCATATGGTTCATTATTTTGGCCAGTTTGTGAGTTGGATTATTTCTGTACAACGAGATGCAAAAAATCAATGGCGAAATAACTATAAGTACTAATGCGATAATAAATCAGTTTTCTTTAGTTTCGATTACGACAAGTTCCTTTACATTTTAAAGGAGGCTTATTTTCAGGAATGGACTGCTACTATTGGGATATTACAAGAAGTGATTAATACTTACACTTTCCTGCTTTTCTTTTGGATCAAGAGGTACATGTGACTTGATGAGATCAGGTTTTGGCTTCTGCACTTCTTTGGGTTTATCACGGGAGACGGGACATTGCGTGTGTGCCGACACTGGACAAAAATGTTTATGTTAAAAAAGAGATTTACAGTCAATTGTATTTCCACTGAAATATGTTACTTTTACAAGATGAACGAGTGCGGTAAGTAAGTAAGCAAATGGACGTAAGTACCTGAGTGTGTGCGGCTAGTGAGTGAGCAAGCGGATAAATGTGAGGGAGTGAGTGAGTGAGCGAATAAATGTGGGAGCAGGTGAGTGTAAAAGCAGGAACATGGGCTAGAGGTTGTAAGTGTTATGTTGGAAAATTAGTGTGTTAGAGGTAATGAGCGGAGAGTGTGAGAGCAGGTGAGTGTGGGAGAGGGTGAATGTAGGAGCAAGTGAGTAGTGTTGGAGCGATAGAATTTGGGAGTGTAAGTAAATTAGTGGATGTATAAGTGTATAGTAAGTGAACGAGTAGCAACGTGGGAGTGAGCAAGAAGGAGTGCGAGAGTTAGTGAGCGAGCGAATAGGAGTGAAAGTGTAGGAGTGTGGGAGTAGGTGAGCGAGTAGGAGTGTGTGTGCGAGTGAGATAGCGCGTGTGTACTGACGCGGCTCCATGCCGGGCGGCTGCAGCGAGGCGGTGCGCGGCGGTGTGAGCGAGTAGGAGTGTGTGTGCGAGTGAGATAGCGCGTGTGTACTGACGCGGCTCCATGCCGGGCGGCTGCAGCGAGGCGGTGCGCGGCGGTGTGAGCGAGTAGGAGTGTGTGTGCGAGTGAGATAGCGCGTGTGTACTGACGCGGCTCCATGCCGGGCGGCTGCAGCGAGGCGGTGCGCGGCGGTGTGAGCGAGTAGGAGTGTGTGTGCGAGTGAGATAGCGCGTGTGTACTGACGCGGCTCCATGCCGGGCGGCTGCAGCGAGGCGGTGCGCGGCGGTGTGAGCGAGTAGGAGTGTGTGTGCGAGTGAGATAGCGCGTGTGTACTGACGCGGCTCCATGCCGGGCGGCTGCAGCGAGGCGGTGCGCGGCGGTGTGAGCGAGTAGGAGTGTGTGTGCGAGTGAGATAGCGCGTGTGTACTGACGCGGCTCCATGCCGGGCGGCTGCAGCGAGGCGGTGCGCGGCGGTGTGAGCGAGTAGGAGTGTGTGTGCGAGTGAGATAGCGCGTGTGTACTGACGCGGCTCCATGCCGGGCGGCTGCAGCGAGGCGGTGCGCGGCGGTGTGAGCGAGTAGGAGTGTGTGTGCGAGTGAGATAGCGCGTGTGTACTGACGCGGCTCCATGCCGGGCGGCTGCAGCGAGGCGGTGCGCGGCGGTGTGAGCGAGTAGGAGTGTGTGTGCGAGTGAGATAGCGCGTGTGTACTGACGCGGCTCCATGCCGGGCGGCTGCAGCGAGGCGGTGCGCGGCGGTGTGAGCGAGTAGGAGTGTGTGTGCGAGTGAGATAGCGCGTGTGTACTGACGCGGCTCCATGCCGGGCGGCTGCAGCGAGGCGGTGCCGCCGCGGTGTGAGCGAGTAGGAGTGTGTGTGCGAGTGAGATAGCGCGTGTGTACTGACGCGGCTCCATGCCGGGCGGCTGCAGCGAGGCGGTGCGCGGCGGTGTGAGCGAGTAGGAGTGTGTGTGCGAGTGAGATGGCGCGTGTGTACTGACGCGGCTCCATGCCGGGCGGCTGCAGCAAGGCGGTGCGCGGCGGTGTGAGCGAGTAGGAGTGTGTGTGCGAGTGAGATGGCGCGTGTGTACTGACGCGGCTCCATGCCGGGCGGCAGCAGCGAGGCGGTGCGCGGCGGTGTGAGCGAGTAGGAGTGTGTGTGCGAGTGAGATGGCGCGTGTGTACTGACGCGGCTCCATGCCGGGCGGCTGCAGCGAGGCGGTGCGCGGCGGTGTGAGCGAGTAGGAGTGTGTGTGCGAGTGAGATAGCGCGTGTGTACTGACGCGGCTCCATGCCGGGCGGCTGCAGCGAGGCGGTGCGCGGCGGTGTGAGCGAGTAGGAGTGTGTGTGCGAGTGAGATGGCGCGTGTGTACTGACGCGGCTCCATGCCGGGCGGCTGCAGCGAGGCGGTGCGCGGCGGTGTGAGCGAGTAGGAGTGTGTGTGCGAGTGAGATGGCGCGTGTGTACTGACGCGGCTCCATGCCGGGCGGCTGCAGCGAGGCGGTGCGCGGCGGTGTGAGCGAGTAGGAGTGTGTGTGCGAGTGAGATGGCGCGTGTGTACTGACGCGGCTCCATGCCGGGCGGCTGCAGCGAGGCGGTGCGCGGCGGTGTGAGCGAGTAGGAGTGTGTGTGCGAGTGAGATGGCGCGTGTGTACTGACGCGGCTCCATGCCGGGCGGCTGCAGCGAGGCGGTGCGCGGCGGTGTGAGCGAGTAGGAGTGTGTGTGCGAGTGAGATGGCGCGTGTGTACTGACGCGGCTCCATGCCGGGCGGCTGCAGCGAGGCGGTGCGCGGCGGTGTGAGCGAGTAGGAGTGTGTGTGCGAGTGAGATGGCGCGTGTGTACTGACGCGGCTCCATGCCGGGCGGCTGCAGCGAGGCGGTGCGCGGCGGTGTGAGCGAGTAGGAGTGTGTGTGCGAGTGAGATGGCGCGTGTGTACTGACGCGGCTCCATGCCGGGCGGCTGCAGCGAGGCGGTGCGCGGCGGTGTGAGCGAGTAGGAGTGTGTGTGCGAGTGAGATGGCGCGTGTGTACTGACGCGGCTCCATGCCGGGCGGCTGCAGCGAGGCGGTGCGCGGCGGTGTGAGCGAGTAGGAGTGTGTGTGCGAGTGAGATGGCGCGTGTGTACTGACGCGGCTCCATGCCGGGCGGCTGCAGCGAGGCGGTGCGCGGCGGCACGTGCTTGCCGGCGAGCCACTCGCGAGCAGACAGCCACGGCTCCCACGTCACCAGCGTCGCGGGAAACAGATCGTCTTGGAAAAGCTCGCTCTGCAACAAGCAACACGAAATCATTACACGTACCACACATATTAAAGTACAACAGCGGTATAAATCCTGGTCAGTTCAATAATAGAAAGTGGACAGGAGAGGGGACGGGAAACAGCATCTTCCGGATAACAATTCAAAATAATAAAAAACTGCATTTTAATGGCAATTTAAATTAATGGCAAAATCTTTCTTATGAGGTAATCTATATGGAGCAGGCCTACGTTTGGATGGTTCCAATAAATGGAATGCATCTAGTACAAACATCAACACTTGCTAAACTACCAACGACCAAAAGTCAACAGTATGACAGTATGACAGTATTTGCAAAAGTTAGACAGCACTACGTATAAAAAGTGTAACATAAGTAATTTGTAGTAGGTAATTAATAAGAAATTTGTAGTAAGAAATAGTAATTAGTAATTAATTTATAGTAATTAATTAGTACTTTGACTGCAGTGTAGTTCCAGTGGGTGTTGGAAGAATTAATGTCTTCAAAATATTTTTAGTCAATATATTTATTACAAATATTTTATATTTGTCCTTTATTAATTATTTTATGACTTCAAAAATTTAAATATAATTTCTAACTTGTCTTTTACCTTTATTCTAGGCACCGTAAATGAAAGTGGTTCAATATTTCCATTCGTAAGTCTTAAGGCTCGTGCAAATTCAACCTGCAACAAAGTTACATATATACTTTAAGTTTGGAGTGTATGGTGAAAGATAAGTTTACAGACACTTGAGAGTTTTTTTTTTATAGGATAAGGGTAACAAACGAGCACACAATCTACCTGATGGTATGTGGATACTGTGGCCCACAGACATCTATATTTATCCTCAATTAAGAATCAAGGTGCAGATGCGTTGTCACCCGTGAGGACTAAGATGGAATGCCTCTTTGCCAGTAAAAAGGGTCTCCGGTTCTCTACACTCGCCATAGGAAACACAGCAATATTGAGCTGCTATTTTACGATGGTATTCTGTGAGAGCATGGTCCTTTCCCGGTCGAGCCGACCCATTCGTGCTACAACCATAATATAGCTGCTGCGTGACCCCACCTCGTAAACGAGTGACACCGCATCTGCATTTTAATTCTTAATCACTTCCCATCGGATGAATTGTGGTCGTTTGTCACCGTTACTTGTTAATAAATAAAAAATTAAAAGATAGAATAGTAATAATAATAATAATGTCCTCCAGACCGAACTTCGGTCTCGGCGGCCAGTCTCAATAGAGACTAGCCATTTGCGCAGGATAGGATTATTGTGTCCAAATGTGAGCTGAAGAACAACTGCAATCTTTATTCCATCACTCTTTAATGGAATTTTAATCCAACACGACGGGAGGGAGCGGGCGCAGGATAAACAATTTAACGTGCTTCCGAGACACGGAGGTAAAACACCGCCAACTATCTGACTCTGGGCTGCTAATGAGAATTTCTGGACAGAAAACCCACTAACTGATTTTTGGTCCGACCCGGGACTTGGAACTCAGGGCCATATGATCAGCAGTCGCGTTTACGACCAATAGAACAAGGAGGCAGTCAAAGCTAGAAGAGCTAGTGTAACAATAGGTTCTGAGGCATTCTACCATCATTGCACCTCCTCCTAGGTGATATTACTGCTACCGTTTATATTTGCAATTCTTTGTCCTGGAGTGAATTAAGTTTCTTTGTCACTCTAACTATCATTGAAGGAATACCACAGCACGGCTAGCATGTGATGCACTGCCAAGAGATAAAATTTATCTTTTCCTTATGCCAAAGCACGGCAACAGGGAGAAGTATATCCCCGTTTGACATAACGAGTAGACCTATATCCCCCGTCTGTAGCATGGAGCCAAATGAAAGATAAAAAATTATGCTTTTTTGACATTTGAAAAGGACAATTTTATCCTAGTTCATTGGAAGTGGGTTTAAGTTTATATTTATACAAAAAATCTATCTAAGTCTAAGTCTATCTCCTATTTTATCTACTGTGAATATTATATCCACCAGTGTGCCCATCCTCGAAGGGTGGATAAAACTAAGCGAGGGCATAAACATTTTCTCCTTTCCCCGGGGATAAAATTGGCTCCTGCCCATGCTAGCCGTGCAGAGTGATAGAAAAGATGATTGTGATATTCCTTTGTCTACTCAAAAAGAGACCATAATTTAGATCCTCTTAAAAATTTTCCTTTTAAAATACATGCCAAGTCGGCCTATATTCTTTGATAAACATTGTCTTAGCACAGACTTAAGAAACTATTTTGCGGAAATAATTTTATTCTTTTTAGTTATTTGAAGTCGACTTGTACTTCTTATTAAAAGTCTAATTACAAGTTTAGTTACTAAGACCCTGGTTTATACTGTAATGGTGGTGTAAGAACTATCACTACCTACCCCCATATCGTCCCGTGGGTGACGTAAGAGGCCACAGAGGGAAACAAACCAGGAGATGGGCTGGTTTCTAATAACAATAAAAAAACTACAGTTGTCAACCCGCCCGACAAGCGTGGCATCTATGGCAAATCCCTACGGATTAATATATAGGGGAGACCTATGTTCAGCAGTGGAATTTTGATAAAATATATGACAACCAGATTCTACACTACAACACTGACCTTTTCGACGGCTACAAGGTTCTTGTGGAGGAAGGCGATACCCTGGTGTAACGTGGCAGCTCGGTGATGCGACAACGCACACAAATATGGCGGCTCGCTTGTAACTTCGTAGCAGTATATCGTCGAATCTCCCTGCAAAATAAATTTCCTGTAGTAAATTGCTTCTTGGACAAAGATCTTCGTGATTTTAATATTTGTTGCCTTTCTCAGGCACCTCATTGATACCTGAACTACGCACCCAATTTTTTTAGCTTCAATTAAGGACATTAATTAACATACCATAACTATATAGCAATCCATTTGCGTTGATTTCACTCTCTAGTCTATTTTTAATGCACACGCTACTGTTTCGGTATGGAGGGTTCAGAAAGAGTAAGCCAGTATAATAATAATAATTAACATGCTGCGAGGCATTCCATCTTCTTCCTCAGTAAAGACTACTCGTCTGTAGCCAAATACCGTACGTAAACGAAAACACTCATACAAACACTCACGCCTGTCACCCATAGGTGTAGGCAGAGACTACGGACTTCCATTTGGCGCGATCCTGACACACCTCTCTCGCCTCCTTTATATCCATATATCTACGCATACACGCTCGTCGGTTAAGGGTACTCCTAATCTGGCCCATTTTCAATGTATCGCCGATTTGGCCGATATACCTTCGTCTAGGATATAATTTGGTCGGTATCTTAAGGATCTTATATTATATTCACTAGACAATTCAAAATGTTGAGGATATTTCTTATTTAAAATACATACTTCCTTTAAGTACATTGACAGTATGGGTAAAATGCTTAATTTATCAAGTAATGACTTATAGCTATCGAATGGCCCCGCTACACAAATATAAAATTTTTATGTTTTATTCACAAACTGTATATGTACTAGCAATAGTTTTATTTAAATAAATGAAAATATGAAACATACCCGTCCAGTGAGGAACAGCGTTGCAGAATCATGATCAATGTGCGTTTGTAAGATGGCGGGCGACACGTCCAGACCCACCGTGCACACGGGAGCCGACAGCTCCGACGCCTTGTACAACAGGATCTGACGCTCCGACACTCTGTGGGGAATTAATGGATTTCAATACTTGGATTCAATTTCAAATGAGTGAATGGAGAAGTTATAACTGTAAAAGAAGAAATCATTAACTGTAAAGCCACGCCCTAGCTATATTATGGTTGTAAAAGGCATGGGTTGGCTCAACTGGGAAGGGACCACACTCTCACAGAATACCAGTATAAAATAACAGCTGTGCAATGCTGCCGTGTTTCGTATGGTGACTGTAGAGAACCGGAGAAAACGCATCTTCATTTTGATTCTTAACCGCAGATAAATGTAGATGTGTATATGGACCACAGCATTCACTTACCATTAGGTGTACTGTGTGTACATTTGTCACTCTTGTACTATAAAAAAAAGTACGGTAGATTTTTTGACACGTGGTGGCGGGATAAGAGGATCAATTACTATCCTATCTTATTCCATGGTTATCGTATAAGATGAATCAGAGAAATGTCTGTTATTGTGGCCTGAATTGACGGCAATATAATCATCTTTTCTTTGTACCAAATATAGAATATCTAGATCTCTGATTACTGCTAAGGCAAATTCTCCCGCCAAGCGTAGCAATCACGACAAATCTTAACTATGAGAGGGTTTCTTGTCCAACAGTTGGCTGTCCACGTGCTAATGAAACAGTTTTAATTTATGAGCAAGAATTTTGTATTACATTCTGGTGGTTTTTTTTTTTATTATACATATAAAATATCCAAAAGAAGTTTAACTAAAAATATGTCCGTGAGTTTTCAATGGATACTATGTAAGTAATAAAACATATGGTGGCCCTTGCTTCACTAAAATAAGATTTTAACAAAGTTGATTGAATAATTTATAGGTACTTTACTTTATGCATATTACAACTTAAAAAATTCTAACAGCTCGGCATTGACGAATGTCATCACAATATTATATTATAGTCGATTGACTTAGTAATTTTTCTGTTACACTGAATCAGCAATACGACTGACCGATTAGTGGACTGTATTATTTTTTGCGTAAAATTTATTTAATTAGTTGGCTGACACGAAAGGAGATGTACTGCTGCGGATTAGAAACAACAAATAAAACAACTCAAGTAAAAAGTATGGATAAACGCAGTACCTTGAAAAGAGCGGCGTGACTCGTATCTCATGACGACTAGATGACACGATGAGCTATGATGACACTAATTTTATTCACAATAGAACAGTTCCGATTTCTTCTCAATAAAGTCATGTGCACCAAACAAACTTCCAAGGATTAAATAATTTTAAGACAATATTACGCGACGGTTACCACGTGCGTTCTATGCTATTTTCGCCATCTTTTTTTTCTTAGTAGATTAGATTAGACGATTGATCGCGCGCCCCATATTTTCTCGCTCACAATTGCGTGATAGGTATGTGCGGGAAAGGAAAGATAGAGGAAGTATAGTGTCAGCCAACTTAAGTTAAATAGATCTAATACGAAATGCAAAGGTGTGCGTTGACACAACGATGGACTTTTATATTGAACATAAAGACTAATCGTTATTTAGTGCATGTTAATGAAATCACATGTAACAATTCTTAGAAGAGGCTGCTTAATTGCTCATTCAAAGAGAAAAAAAATTCTTAACTATTGGCAAAGATTAGAATATTGAACAAATACAGTGAGGATCTGAGATCAAAAAAAAATAGACAAGAACAATAGGTACATTTCAAGTGACGCCAAAAGCTTGCTCAATGCACAATGTACATTATGGTCTATCTTTATTATTAACTTTCTTTGTTAGTCTGAAGTCAGAGTGATAGATTATACTAACTTGTCGAAACCAGTAACAACAAGATGTGTAGCGTTGAGCGCCCACACTACTCTCCCGCCCCGGCTTCCTGCGGGACCCGGTCCACTCCTGATTGGCTCGGAGGATTCTCGAGGCTTGTATATCTGATAACAAACTAAAATATTTACATCTAACTCCAAAAAAAATCTGGATGATATGCATATGAAGTTTACGTATTTCATCCTGGTGTTCCAATTGGGTAGCTTATTTTCCCTTATTTATTTCCTTATTTTCCCTTATTCTTTTCCTAATTTTTTTTTTTGGGAAATATTATTAGTATTTTATACAATTTATTCCAATGACAAAAAAGAACAAAATTAAGTAATTACTACAAAATAAACAACCATACACTAATACCGATCCTTAGCCCATATCTACCGCAAAACAGCAATACATTCGCTGTTATGTTCAAGTTTGAAGAGGCCAGCGGTTTCGTACCGCGCTGCGCGCTGCCGCAAGACGCATCGCGACGTCGCGAGGCGCTTCGTTAAGTCGCTGCCAGCCACGGAGCAAATACAAAGAGGAGACGGCCTAAGCAACTGTGCACTGTGATTCTAACTAGGTCCTGACGTCATCACAGTGGCCGTGGCTTTACTTAGTATACTGTTGCGTTCGTCATGTGCGCTTGTGTCGAAAACGCAAATCGGTGTATTTTCGTAGTATTAAGAAGGAAAGTTAAAAACTGTGTAAACCAAACCAAACCAAACCAAATGGTGTATGTTTTTTTTTTTATAGGATGAGGGTGACAAACGAGCACACAGTCCACCTGATGGTAAGTGGTTGCTGCGGCCCATAGACATCTACATCTATCCTCTGTTACAAATCAAAATGTAGATGCGTTGTCACCCGTGAGGACTAAGATGGAATGCCTCATTCCCAGTAAAAAGGGCCTCCGGCCACCTACACTCACCAAGCGAAACGCAGAGGTAAACCTCTACTTCACGCTGGTTTTCTGTGAGGTCGTGGTACTACCCCGGTTCGAGCCGGCCCATCCGTGCGACAGCAAAAGCTGCCGCGTGGCTCTACCACTGTTGAAACTGTGTAAAACTGTGTAAACTGTTGTGTGTGTCAAAATGTGTAAAAACTACTCAGAGAGACGCTCTGATGCATAGCATCTCATCATCACATTAGAGAGAGAGATGGCATCACATTTCATTTGTAAGTAATTTTATATCTAATTTATTAAAATAGTTCTATAAAAATCTCTGCGTCGGCTTTCAAATATAATTAAATATATTCGACACTAGATGGCGACACTTTGTGTCATGGTAACTAAAAATATAAAGGTGCGTAGAGCTCAGTATTGGTAAAATAATCATAAGAAGGTGCTGAAATTCGTTTTGCATTCAGAATTTTAATCGCCAATATATAATTTTTATAGTATAATCATTTTGTAAACAGGCCGCCATCTATCGTCAAGATAGCTAAACTACATTGCAACATTGATATGGAAAGATATGAGTAGTTTTACTATTTATCGGTGGATGAAAAATAGTTAAATGGGAGGGTCTTAACACTCGCTCACCCTGTAAATTGTCATGCGTTGTTACGTAGTGAAATCTAATTACAACACCTCCTCTTTGTATTTGCTCCGTGCTGGCAGCGCACCGCACTTGCACACTGCGCCTAATGACGAGGCACCGCCGCGTCGTTTTGACGTGTCGCACTACGCCTATAATTATCTCAATAAAATGTGTATCTTTTCGTGTAGTAAATAAAGTTATATTTTATTTCATTATCTTCAAAAGAGCGCGCCGCGTTGCGTCACGTCTCGGTGTGAGCTGACCTCAAAGCTCTAGTTTCCAAAGATCGCGGTGCTGCTTGATGGTGGACATGACGTCATGTAGCGGTACCCCAATTGTAGGAAAGCAGAGCTTAAGGTAGTCAGAATATTAAACTATTATTTTATCTTATTCGACAGGAAATGTTGTAACGCCTTCATTATTTAAAATTGGCTGCCAATGTTCATGAGCTGCAGTGTTCACTTACCAGGTGGGAAGTAAGCTCGTTTGTTATTTTAACGTGATGATAAGTCACAGCAATTCAATATTATAGAAAAAATTAAACATACACAGATGATACATACCCGAATAAGACCATCTTTGCAGATAGTAGCTAAATATTCTCCGCATGGCGACCAGTCCAGTGCGAAAATTGCATCAGTGTGCCCAGTTAACGTGATTGCTGCTTGAGGTTCGGGCTGTGACAGATCCCATAGTTTTATCGTTAAGTCGTGAGCTGCCGTGGTTAATAAATCTGACGCGGTCGGGTGGAAGCGGATTAAATAAATTTTGTCTGGATGTGCTGAGAAGGTACGGTTGGGTTCGTTTGTTGACTCTTGTAGACCTGTGAATAATATAGTTGTAATGTATTTAAGGTCTCCTTTAATCAACTACGAAATGTACTGACGGTACATGTATATGTATATGCAGAAAGTCGCTGTTGCCGATGCTGAGTAGGCGTGCATCTAGTTATACCTAAACAAAATGCTAAATCTAGCCAAGTTATCGTCTTAACCAATTACTATAAAAGGCACGATTGTGCAAGTATTAAAGTATTTAAAGCGCATAGACTTCTTTGATTGTAAGCTGTGCATGTCACTATGCCAGTGTTAAATTTTAAATTAGTTTGTATTAAAATTACGTTAGGGCTTGTCTTATGATGTGACAGCATTGAAGGAAGTTAATATTTTGATTGCTTGTACAGCAGCTAAGGAGGGTGGGCATAGAATGTTAGAGATATTTTTGAAATTAAAGCTTGCTTTTTATCATGGGATATAATATATATCCTGAGATTTAAATTATTTAATGCGATTGGCTTTCACACTGTGATATACATTTTTAACCAATGTGCGTTCGTCATTGGATCACAGCGTTCAACATTCAAACAATATGGATATTGTTTTGCTTGATAGCCTCGACAATTAATCAGAGGAAGATGATGCATAATTTGATTTACGTGTGATACTTTAAAGTTTAAACAGGGTGTTGATACTGGATATCAAATCTGTTCACACCCGAACGCTGGTTTCGGAATTTGACGCCAGAGGGCGCTCGGCTCGGCGCCATACCGGTTTTGACGTTCGGTCGAGCGGTGTGGCGAGGGCGCGCGAGCGCAGGAGTCGTTTGACAGCTGTGCTTGGGACAGCACGCTGTCATTTTTTTGTGCGGGAACGCGGAATAGTTTAGGCGCGCCTAGTAAATATACAGTCTAGCATTCGTATCGCGCATTCCTTGTTTGAGAGCATTTCCCGGGACTTCTTGTGTCTAACTCAGAATCTGTATAAAGGTATTCGGCAATATTAGCTACTACTGCGGCATTTGATATTCTAGAAATAATTGTTGCCACGCGAAACGATAGTGAACTTTGATCCGGACATTCGTGTTCGTGCGGTGTTACGTTTTTGCTTATAGTAACGGGATTTCGTATAGACTGACATTCTGTACTTGTGATGGGTGTTACGCTTTATAACAAATTAGAGTTAGTGGCTTCTGGAAGTTCGTTAATTGTGCGATAAAGTTAAGGACTGTCCTCGTGACGAACGAAGAAAGTGACTGTGAACGACTCCGCGGAAAATTACCACAATTTGGAGCGGTGCTGAAGTCCGAGCTGCTGCCGACGGCAACGGTCTCATAAGGTCTACCACAGTCAGTCACACACAGATACACATCACTGACCCTTACTTCCCATGCACCATACAACCGCATGCGACCTGACCGAACCCTGAGGGACCAGTCGGCTTGGATATAGGTAGGTAAGCTCGGTTGTAATTAGAGATTTTCCACTTTGGCTTTAGGAGGCCCGACCTGCATCTGCTTGTGGGATCTTCCTTCATGGGCCGGGAAGATCCTACTCTTGGATAGGCAGCTGCACGCCGTAACAATTTGGTAGCAGAGCGTGGTTCCGGGTTAGATTCCCCGGTCGATTCCGACCATAGTGTTTGATAAAAATTAAACAATTCTGGTGGCAGGGAGCGTTGGTTTGATTGGTTTAATTTTGTGTCTACAATCACACCCGTCCGTAATACGTAAAAATATTTTTTTTGTACGTAATAATAGAATTATTTTCCTTTGTTGCTTGCTTATTTGGTTAGCGGGTAGATTTGAAAAGCCGCGCCCGTTTAGTGCGCAAGCGGGAGTTTTTCTAGAGATATGCGTCATGTAGGTAGATGGTTATTATCACGTAATCGGTTAATTATCGTTGTCGGATAGTTGTAGTGGATTACTTATCGAAGGGTCGATTTCCGAGCGAGGCATTTTTTGTTGATCGACCGTGATGTGTATCTTATTTGTATTGTAATTTGTATTTGAGCTAAAGAGTAGTAATTTGTATTTGCGCAATTTGAATTTAACTTGATTTGATCGCACTAGTATTTGTTATTTGTTGATTTGATTTGTGTCTTTTCTTTTGTGCTAACTTGTATTTAATTAATAAATAGTAGTTCGTATTGGTGTAATTTCTATTCAACTCGATTTGATAGGAACTGCATTTGTTAACTGTTAATTTTTTTGTATTTGTTATTTATTATTTTGTAATTTGTGCTCGAGCCGCGTCGTAATTTGTATTTAGTAGTGATGTCATCGCCCAAGCTACTAATCCGATGCCTGCTGAGTTACGCCTGGCCACCAGTGCCCATGCTTTGATAGGTCGACCGGATAGGGTCCATAACTTGATGAAGCGGCTCGAGCAGGTCGATGCTCGAAGGGCCGCAGTGGAGGAGGCTTACGCTGAGCTCGAGGATTCGGATGTGGAAAAGGGAGTCCTGGACTCCTGCTTCGCAGACTACGAGCAGTTCTTTTCGCTCACGACCGAGTTGATCGAGGCTGAAGGCAGGTATGCCGAGGAGGTGCGTGAAGCTCGGATGAGTAGCCTGCCCGAGTCCTCTCGGAGGCAGCCTCAGCCGGAGCTGTTGGGACGACTCCCAACTCTGGACCTGCCAAAGTTCTCCGGGGTCCTTTCCGAATGGCTGACTTTCGTTGGTCTTTTCGACAGCCTAGTGGACGCCTGGAGAGACTTGACCCCGAGCCAGAAGATGGCGTACCTTCTGGCCTCACTGGAGGGGGAAGCCACTTAGGATTGTCGGACGACGCATACCAGACTGCTCGAGACCTCCTAGCCAGAAGATACGCAAACGTTCGGCGAATTGCGGACGAACATGTTAAGCAGCTTCTAAGCCTCCCGCTGCTGAGTGACCGGGCCAGACTACGTCCGGACCTGTTGAATCCAGTCTTGGTGGCCTGTAATACGTTGAGGCGGCTGGATTTACCAGTGGGCGAATGGGCCTTGTTGCTGCTCCGCATCGTGCTGTCCCGTCTACCTCTCCACCTTCGAATACATTTTGAGGAGAGGTACGGCAGAGATGGGGCCTCCTATGTTCCGGCCTTCAATGACCTGCTGCGGTTTTTGGAGGAGCAGTGCCGGCAAATTGAGAACGCGGCGAGCACCGTTGACGACTTACGAGCCGTGCCCAGTGAGAGGCGGAATCCGCCGGGCAAGTCGTCGTTAACCCCCCCCCCCCCCCCCCCCAGGCCTATCGGAGCTTCCGCGGGAGGGCGTCGCTCCCTACCATCTTACAGTGGCCTAGCGGCCAGAGACGCGCCCTCCTGCTCCTATTGTAGAGCACCTGATCATCGGGCAACATCGTGCCCGAAATTATTAAGTAAGCCGGTTCCGGCGAGGCGAACTATCGCCAAGGAGCGCCGCTGGTGCTACTCATGTTTGGAAGGGCACCTCCAGCGAGACTGTCCGCACCGGCGGCCCTGTCTGCATTGCCAGGGCAACCACCATGCAGTTTTGTGCCTGGGTGCTAACGGCGTCTCCTCTCGGGGCTCTTGCCAGGCCCTCGACCCTCACGGGCGGGGGCGTTCAGCCACGCCCTCTGACGGGCGACTTTCAGCGCCCGCCGGCCAGCCACCAGGCCCCTAGGTTTGAAAGGGGTCCCTCCCCCGACCAGTCGGGGGGTAATTCCCCCAGGGATGGGGGTGTCATCACCCCCCCTCAGCGTGTGGAGAGGAACTTCACGGCCACTCATCAATCCGCTAGACCCTTCTCACTCCCGTTAGCTGAGTGGCCGCGACTGGTGTACCACCGTTCCCCATTTGATGGAGGCGGCCCTAACTAGCTGCCGCCTTAGCTCCCACCACGGCCGCCTCCACTGAGCCTTGAGCCGTCAACAGTCCACTTGTCAAACTGTTCTGTTGCCGATGGCCTCATTGAAGGCGTACAACCCGAGTGGTGACTGTTAGCGGTTTGCGCTCTATTGGTCTCGGGTTCACGCGGTGTGGCCTCCACTTGGTGGTGGGAAGATTAGGGCCCCCCTGGAGCGTTGAATCACGCTGTCAAGGGGTATTAGATTTGGTTTTGGTCAAGTACTTAATTAACGACGCTTTAAATTAAAAATAAAAATGCTTTTGGGTTTACCGCGAAAATTTTCCTATTTGTAGCGGTTGTGATTAAAAGGTTGAATTTAATATGCTCCTTTAAATGCTGCTGCATATGTTTTGCAAATATATTTGATCACTGTGTTTGTTGTTGCACGGAAAATTGAAATTGAATGCTTGTGCGTATGTTTTTGTAATTGTATTTGCTCATTGCGTCTGTTTTGCTGAAAGGAAAATTTGAATTCATTTGAGGTTGAATGACGCGCCGTTTGGATATTGGTGTATTTTTTGTGATTGTGTTTAATCATTTTGCTTGTGAAAGGGAAGGCTGAAATTGGATAACCCTATTTGTGCCGAATGGAGTAAGAGTCACTTCTGTTTTGGTTTACATTTTGTTGGCACTGTCTAAGATATTTAAATGAGAAGTAGGGCTGTCCCTTACGTTTATTGTTTTGTTTAATTTGCAAGTTGACCTTTGTGCATCGGTGATTAATTTGTTTGAATTAATTCTATAGTTGGACATTGATGCTTTTGAAAAATTAGTTGAAATATGAGCATAGGACTACCTGTCTAAAGGGCAAGCCAGTTTGTAGATTATCAGATGGAAATCAGCTGTCACACCATTTGGTAAATGATTATATGGTGGATGGCTTGGTTATGCCTACTTGTTGAAAATTCATACTAGGGACTATCTGTGCGTTTCGTTCGGCTCTCCACAGACGACGTTCATGGGGAATTTGGGGGTGCTCTCTGCACTGAAGCTTAAGAGGCCACTCTGGGCCGCTTCGTGTCGCGTCGCTGTTTGCAGATCTGATCCGGTCGGATTGCGGAACTAATCATAGGGGCACAGATAGGTGTTGAAGGAGGTCGTCGGACTTCTGTCTAGGAATAGGACTTATTTATGTGCTGCGATGTCCAGGAAGGGCATCCAGTTCAACCCTCCAGCTTGCCCGCGTTGGGGCCGTAATTTTGAGGCGTGGGTTAGGATTGCAAGATCTGATGGGGTGCCTAAGGTGGCCTAGTTTGGTTGTAGGTTCGGTCTTGCAACTTGCCGTCGCGACCCTGTCCCGCTGACCGGTTTTCTCGCGGACCTAAATCCTTATGTCCGGGACGGGGGTTTGTTCACGCCCGAACGCTGGTTTCGGAATTTGACGCCAGAGGGTACTCGGCTCGGCGCCATACCGGTTTTGACGTTCGGTCGAGCGGTGTGGCAAGGGCGCGCGAGCGCAGGAGTCGTTTGCCAGCTGTGCTTGGGACAGCACGCTGTCATTTTTTTGTGCGGGAACGCGGAATAGTTTAGGCGCGCCTAGTAAATATACTTTTTAGCATTCGTATCGCGCATTCCTTGTTTGAGAGCTTTTCCCGGGACTTCTTGTGTCTAACTCAGAATCTGTATAAGGGTATTCAACAATATTAGCTACTACTGCGGCATTTGATATTCTAGAAATAGTTGTTGCCACGCGAAACGATAGTGAACTTTGATCCGGACATTCGTGTTCGTGCGATGTGTTACGTTTTTGCTTATAGTAACGGGATTTCGTATAGACCGACATTCTGTATTTGTGTTGGGTGTTACGCTTTATAACAAATTAGAGTTAGTGGCTTCTGGAAGTTAGTTAATTGTGCGATAAAGTTAAGGACTGTCCTCGTGACGAACGAAGAAAGTGACTGTGGACGACTTCGCGGAAGATTACCACAATTTGGAGCGGTGCTGAAGTCCGAGCTGCTGCCGACGGCAACGGTCTCATAAGGTCTACCACACTCAGTCACACACAGATACACATCACTGACCCTTACTTCCCATGCACCATACAACCGCATGCGACCTGACCGAACCCTGAGGGACCAGTCGCCTTGGATATAGGTAGGTAAGCTCGGTTTTAATATTCTCCCTGTTGAATGGCAGTAGGATAGAACGCTCCCCCTTATTGTTTATTGTAATTAGAGATTTTCCACTTTGGCTTTAGGAGGCCCGACCTGCATCTGCTTGTGGGATCTTCCTTCATGGGCCGGTATGATCCTACTCTTGGATAGGCAGGTGCACGCCGTAACAAAATCATATAAAGTTTAGAGAGGAATATGATGAATTTAGACCTTTTAATGAATTATAAGAAGAAAAGTTACGAATACAAATGAGTATATGCATTACGCACAATTTCATTCAGGTAACACAGATTATTAAGAGGATACGACGCATGTCAGGTAATGACAGAGTTGACAGACATGTAAGCGGGGTACAGGGGGAAAATATAATATGAAAATATCGCTCGGTCGATCGAAAAAATATTTATAGTATGAGATGTAATATATATTACATCTTAGTGTAAACGGTTTTATTTAAAAGTACAGTGAGCGATAGTATTTTGATTATTTCGAGATTAATTATATTAAATTCCATAGTGAAAAGCAAGCTTCATCGTGTATGACAGATCTATAAGATAGTTTGTGTTAGTACCAGGATAGCATAAAGAGTGATTGCCATTATTTGCTCGACTCAAAAAATATATGCAGTACACATTAATAATAATTCTCAATGGTATTAGGGCTTCATAGAACAAATAAACAGATCTATCTGAGATGCTCACAACAATCTATGACTATAATATGATTGTCAGTGCAAACAACAGGAGCCACTCTAATTCTGAAGTATAACGCCCGCCACATACATACGAAATTCCGATTCGAGATTCCGAACGCAGCAAGTTCATATAAAATCTATGACTCGTCTCACACGTACGGTAGTTTTTCGTTCGAAATTTTGCGGGCAAAACGGGATTCCGTATGTGTGTGGCCGAACCGTTCCGAATTCCGTATGTGTGTGTGTGGTCTTATCGTGAGTGCAAGTAGCAGGAGCGCATAAAGTAGTAGCATACGCAGTACCGACCGTCGTGCGGCAGTATCCACTCGCGCACTTGTCCGTCGTCGCAGGCGACGAGCAGGCGCGTGTCGTCGAAGGGGTCCCAGGCGGCGTCGGTGAGCGCGGCGGCGTGCAGCAGCGCGGCGGCGTGCAGCGGCGGGTGCGCGCGCGCCGCGCGGGCGGCGGGCGAGGCGCCGCGCGGCAGCTCCAGCACGCCCAGCCGCCCGCCGCCGCCGCTGATCGGCACCGCGCACCGCACGCCGTTCGCTGCACATGCACACAATACACCTGCTATACCCCATACCCCGCACCTCACGTCCAGTGAACGGGAAAGTAGCCAAGGAAGTGGACAGGACGAGTTTGAAAACACGATTTTTGTACGTGGTATAGCCATGCTGCAGCTATATCAGTAGTTTAGTTGTAGCACGAATGGCTCAGCTCGACCGGGGTAGGACCACGCTCTCACAGAATACTAAATGGCAGCTTGACACTGCTGTGTTTCGTATGGTGACTGTAGAGAACCGGAGACCCTTTTCTGGAAAAGAGGCATTCCATCTTAGTCCTCACGGGTAACAACGCATCTGCATTTTGATTCGCAAACGAAAATAGATGTAGATGTCTATGAGCTACAACAACCACTTGCCATCGGGTGAACTGTGTGCTCGTCTGTCACCCTATCCTATAAATAAAACGATACATGATCATGTCTGTATCGAACGCTTCCCAAATGAGCATTTTGTTCAGAGTTCCCAACTTAGGAATTTCCCTCCAAATTTAATGGCTAACGGTATGTTCCGATATACACAACGAGCACTGCTCGGTGTTCTCACTAGTAAATAATTCATTCAGTATACTAGCAGTTATGGACTGCCAGTATACTGCCGCAATACCCTAGGGAAATATATGACGTCATAAACCGCCGCCATTTTTGGGGGTCATTGTAGAAGCGTGCTCGTCGCGACCCCTGCCAGCCCTTTTCAGGGCTGCAATTCTACTAGCTGCGCACCCATGCCAACGAGGGTTAGGGCGTCCCCCCAAGGCGACGCACACCAGCTCGTCCCCGTTGGTGTGAAATGCAGCGCGCAAAGCGGCGATGGGGACCGCCACCCGTCACGCACAGCCCGACACGGCGGAAGGTGGAGGACAGAGTGCAGAGTTGGCACGTGGAATGTTAGAGGAGGCATGAGAGATAAGACGAATGAGTTGATCGAAATAATGAAAGAAAGAGAATTAGATGTCGTGTGTATGTCGGAGACCAAGCGGAAGGGCAGTGGTACTGAAGAGCTCCCTGGCGGGGCGTTAGCTCTATGGTCCGGAATCCCTGGGAGCGAGAACGCCTGCCAGGGAATGGGGGTGCTGCTGTCTTCTCGGTTGGTCGATGTTATGACTGAATATAAGGTTGTGAACTCAAGACTTCTCTGGGTTCGCTTTAAATTGGGACTGACGAAGTTATTCCTTTTGGCTGTTTATGCGCCGGTAGCTTCGTCGTCCAGGGCTGAGCTGGAGGAGTTTTGGGAGAATGTAAGAGAAGTTCTAGATTTGGCTAGGGGAAACGAAAGAATTGTTGTATGTGGTGATTTGAATGGATGGGTTGGTACCGCTCGACCAGGGTACGAGTCGGTACTTGGAAAGTTTGGCGATAAAAGGGTTAATGATGCTGGCAAGCTTATACTGGCGGTGTGCAAGGAAAAGGGTCTTCTTGTGACAAACACTATGTTCAAGCACAAGAAAATCCATATGTATACTAGAGAACGAAAGAATGAGAGAAGTATGATCGATTTGTTCCTGGTGGATGACCGACTGCGAAAACAGGTGATGGATACGCAAGTGTTCAGGGGTGCTGACCTGGGAACGGATCACTATCTAGTGATTACTAGATTTAGGGGTCTGTTCGCGGGTTGGCGCTACCGGACGGCAGTAACAGAACCACAGTCGGTCTGTCGCATCCGAAGCTGGAAGCTTCAGGAAGCGGATACTAGGGACAAATATCATGCGAGGGTAGCCGAAAAGCTTGACACCATCGATGGCAGAAAAGAATGTGTAGAAAGAACATGGCAGAACCTTAGGGATGGAATGGTAAGTGCAGCGGAAGAAGTGTGTGGAACAGTAAAAAGAGGCAGTAGTAAAAGAAGAGATGCATGGTGGAATGATGAAGTGAAAGAAGCTGTAAAGAAGAAGAAGAAAGCATGGTTAGACTACTTGGCCTCTAGTAATGATAAGGATATGAGAGAGAAGATGAAAGAAAGATATAGGCTGCAGAAAGTTCACACGAAAGCATTGATTGAGGAAGTGCTTGAAAGGTGTAGAATGGAAGCGGACGAAAGGTTGTCGCACAACTTTAAGGAGAACTCCAAACTCTTCTGGAAAGAGGTTGGAAGAACCCGAAGTGGTGCGACGGCCTTAAGAATGAACAAAGTGCTTTCGAGAACTAATGACGTCCTCTCAGAAAAATCGGACGTCATGCAGCGATGGAGCGAATTTTATAGAGAAATGTATGCGTGTGATGATCTTAGTAAGGGATCCGGGGATGACGCCGTGACTGGTACGCCAGACCCGGACCTCGATGACACTGAGGTCATCAGTATGAAAGAGATTGAACGTGCGATTCGAAGTTTGAAATGTGGTAAGGCTGCGGGACTAGACAGAGTTACTGCTGAAATGGTCAAGTATGGTGGGCCTCGCGTCTGGGACAGCTTTCATCTGCTACGCAATTTGTTCTGGCGGACGGGGGATGTCCCGGATGATTGGCGATCGGCAGTCATTGTGCCTTAATATAAAGGTAAGGGTTCACATTTTGACTGCGGGTGCTATCGGGCGATCAGCTTGACCAGTTTAGCAAGTAAAGTTTACTCGAAGGTTTTGACACGTAGGATGCAAGAGAAATCGGAAAGATTTCTATGGGAGGTACAATGCGGATTTAGACCTGGAAGAGGATGCAGGGATCAAATGTTTTCTCTCCGCATGATCACGGAAAAGCTTCTGGCTGCTAACCAGAAGATTTTCTGTGCTTTTGTGGATCTTGAGAAAGCATTTGATAAGGTTGTAAGGAAGAAAATGTGGGAACTGTTGCCGGGGTATGGTGTGGATGGTCAATTGCTAAGGGCTGTGCAGTCTCTTTACTGTGACTGTAAAGCCTGTGTGCGGGTAGGGCATGACCTGTCACCCATGTTTAACGTCCAAACGGGCGTAAAGCAGGGTTGTGTCATGTCTTCCTGGCTGTTCATACTGTATCTCGAGAGCTGTTTACAGAAGCTGAAAGATAGTTGTTTGGGTGTGAAATTGGGTGACATTAAAGTAAATTAAAGTAAATTGTCTGCTGTATGCTGATGATGCAGTGCTTATTACACCATCAGAGGCAGAAATGCAGGCATTAGTCACGTGTATGAAAGAGGAATGTGAAATTAAAGGTCTCCGTTTGAATGCTAATAAAACTAAGGTTCTGGTATTTGAAAGGGACGAAGAGAGAACGAAGTGTGAAATATGGGTAAATCAGGAATGTCTAGAACAGGTAAATGAAATTGTATACTTGGGGAGTGCTTTTAGCCGGGATGGAAGATGTGATTTAGATGTGGACAGGCTTGTCGCTGCCGGGAACAAAGTCAATGGTGCCCTGGCTGCGTTAGTCAAAAGGCAAGGCGTAGCGAAGAGTGCACGCCTTGCAATACATAACGCAGTGTTGGTACCGACTTTGTTATATGGCAGCGAAACCTGGGTATGCCAGAAGAAGCATAAAAGTAAGTTGAATGCAGTGGAGATGCGATCTCTTCGTAAAATGTGCGGCGTGACCATGGCCGACCGAAAGCGAAACGAAGAGATTCGCAATATGGCAGGTTTGAAAGATGACCTTATCACAAAAATTGATAAGGGCGTGCTTCGGTGGTTTGGGCACGTTGAGCGAATGAGTGAAGACCGAATGGTGAAGAAAATATATAGCGCGAAAGTTAATATTAAAAGGTGTCGAGGTAGACCGAGACTAACTTTCGAAGACCATGTGAGCAAATTGCTCGAAGAGGGTAGGGTCAAAAGTACTCGGATACTTAGACGTGCATGCATGAAGAAGATAATGAATCTGAAAGAAGCGAAAGAGGTATGTAAGGATCGTGACACTTGGCGATCTGTTCTCTCTGGCTACCCCGTCACGGATTGTGCGTGAAGATAAGTAAGTAAGTAAGTATTTTTTTGTACTGTGAACGCCGATACTTTCAAGATAAAGTACTTTCAGTACTTTGATCACGTGATTAAAAAACATAACAACAGCTAGAGATTTAACAACTTCCATAAGTTATTGTTATGATTATTAATTAATATTGTTATTCAAATAAACTCGGACATTAAGTTTTAAAGGCAACAACATTCAAATAATAATTTTTCTTGTTAAACAAAATCGTGTAAATGATAAATATTTTAATTTGAAAACAGTGTCGAAAATAGGGATAATAGTGTCGAAAATGGGGATTACAGTATATTAGACTGCGTTCCATTTTAAACAGCAACCAGTATAGCAAACTAAAAAGGAACGGCTTCACAATATACTGAATTGACGTCACACCTTACAGTGGTCACAGTTTATATCGGAACACACCCCAAATAAATGAGATCGGCCTTTTTAGAGATTTTATATTTTAGGGACATTTCTAAGAACATTTTTATTTGTTTCCACTTTAACTGATGACTACCATGATTCAAAATTTAAGCCGTGTGTTTTGCATTAATTAACACGGTTACAATTTATTCCATTTTATAGATTAAAACTGTACAAAGTGTTAGGACTAATTCACATTGCAACGAAATAGCGCAAATTTTATAACATTTACATGTTTATTTAATATCCAAATGTAACATAAAGAATATTATAAAACATTGTACTTATATATTAAGGGTTTTCTAATTAAGGCGATTTTACGGATTTTTCACTTAATACACTAACTTAAATATTGTTTGGAGTTGACAACACTGTAAATGAAATGTCGCTTAGTTCTCGGTGAACGATCCGTTTACGATCCGGACTGACAGACAGATAAACAAACAGACAAACATTTTCAATATGGTTACTTATGTCTTAATAGCCTGCAAAAACCATCCGGCGCTTAATAGAAGCCATTTATTTTAATATTTCAGGCAGATACTTCTACATTATTTTAATATTTCACATAGTACTTATATGTATAGATGAGATGATAGTGTTGCGCGCCACGATAAATACACGGTACATGGCGACTCTATTTACCACTAGCGCCCTCTAGTATCAAGTAGCAGAACTAGGACAGTCAAGAATATTCTAGAAATTTCTATAGTAGAAGGTTTTGGGAACTACCTGAGGCCCTATATAAGGCCGGTATAGACCGCGACCTCGTCAGTATTGAATTGGCGATACAACTTCGAAGCGATACAACTGCGAACTAAAGTGATCTGTAGTACAATTGTTTTGTAATTAGTGTGGTTGTAAGTTGTAGTTAGTGTAATCAAAGTGTCAATTTTGGTAATTCACTCGGCAGTTATTAATTGTCTCGAACTCCAAGCTCGTAACAATTGATGTCAGAAGTGGGATCAAATCATGCTGAATTTATCAAAAGATGACACGGAGAGTATTCGTACCCGAAGTCGACGCCAGCAGGAGACGGACCAGAGACGATTTGGTGGTCCTGCATCTGCAGTACCTGACTTAGGTGTTCTGATGATGATGCTGCAGGAACAGGACCGCCGACAGGAGAAACAGGCCCGTCGGTTGGAAAAGCAGCTGCAACGAGGACAGGAGGAACAGGCCCGTCGTTTGGAAGAGCAGCTCAAACGCGATAAGGAAGAGCAGATGCTCCTCATGAAGGACCTTCACGCTACCTTCGGGAAAGAGATAAGGGAGGTAAAGGATAGGGTTGCTCAACATAACAACCGCCTGTGGGAAGCTGAAACCCGAATCGACCAAGTGAACAATCGGATTAACAGCGTGATGGTTGACGTGAAGAAAACGCTAGACGACCTCAATCTTGGGAATGGAATTACAGCTTCCGTGGTAACTACAACACTTTCGCTACGTGGATTCAAAGTGCCGCTGTTCGACGAGACTTCTTCCTGGTCAAAGATCTGCGCAGCTCAAAGATCGCGTGCAACGCAGGAAAGAAAACCTGCAGCAGTGGGCCCTTGAGGTGGAGAACCTGGTTCGAAAAGCATATCAGTCTGTACCTGCGCTCATTGTAGGGAACCTGGTGTAGACATTCATCGACGGCATCCGCGACCTTGAAGTCAGAGCTGTTGTGAGACTCGGGCACCACGAGACGCTTAAGGGCGCGTTGGCCCATGCACTGGAGGTGGTAGCCGTGCGAAAGGATCATCGTTCCCATCGCGTCAGGGAGGTTGCAGCAGCTACAATTCACGACCGCCATAAAGAATACAGCCCCAGGTGCTACGGCTGTGGGGAAAGGGGCCATCTTCGATCCAGCTGCCCTAAGCGAACTTGTAGAAAGGGAAGGTGATCGATATCGAGAGGGTAGTGCGGCTAACAGCACCGCCCAGCAGCAACAGGGAAACTAGTAAAAGCCAGGACTACGTGGCCGGGTGCTGGCTGATGTTAAAAGAGTCCCAAGTATTTCGATCTCACAAAACCATTATGGGAACAGCCTAATCATCAAGGGCGAGGTCAACAGAACGCCGTGTAAACTGACCATAGACAATGGAGCCTCTCGCACGGTTTTCAGTTCCCAACTTATAAAGTCAGTTCCTTGGGGACTCCGCATACAACCGAGAACGCATTAATTTGATGACAGCCACCGGTCAGCGCATACCCGTCCGTGGAGAGAAGGAGATGGAGTTCAAGCTTTTGACTGTCGCAGCGTTCTCTCCCCGAATGAAACGGTCAAGGCGAAGAAGTTGTTACTCAAGTACGCCGATGTTTTCTCGTCAAACAATGCTGACACAGGAATGGCTAGCTTAGTGCAACACAAAATAAACACAGGAAAAGAATTGCCTATCCGTCAGCGGCCAAGAAGATTGCCGGTAGCAAGTGAAAAGTGGAGACCATGATTGAGGGAATGGTGAAGGATGGTGTTATTGAACCTTCATCTAGTCCATGGTGTTCACCTATGGTGCTGGTAAAGAAGAAGGACGACAGCAAGAGTTTTTGTGTTGACTACCGCTGTTTGAACGACGTTATGAAGAATACATGATTACTGGAGTAAAGTGGTGTAGCACGCTGAAACTGAAAAACGGCTACTGGCAGGTTGAAATTGGCCCTAAGGACAATGAGAAAACTGCATTCTCGACAGGAAAGGGTCTGTGGCAATTTAAAGTTATGCCGTTTGGGTTGTGCAATGCTCCAGCAACGTTTGAAAGGTTGATAGATTATACTTACCGGGCTAATTCATCATCATCGTAGGCCGTACGTTTGAGGAACACCTTCAAAACCTGGAACGTGTGCTCATGAAGATCCAAAGTGCCAACCTCAAGTTGAGTCCGGAGAAATGTTCACTATTCAAACGGCAAGTTTTGGGATATGTAGTGTCGGAAGAAGGTATCCGCACGGATGCAGAGAAAACCGCTGTCAAGGATTTGCCGGTTGCAAAAAACAAGACACAGCTTAGAGTATTTTTGGGTTTATGCTCCTATTATCGACGATTTGTGAAGAACTTTGCAGATATAGCCAAACCTCTGCACAAACTAACCGAGGAGAAGCGACATTTCTGCTCGTAACAATAATGTCAACTACCCAAAAAGGGTTACCAGATGTTATACTACATATTATACCATAATTAGCTTTAATAATATATATTTATTTATTTACTATTCCATTAAATATTAAATGTAATTAATAAACTATAAAATTGTGTGTGTGTGTGTGTGGTGTTAGTGGTGTAGAATATCCACTACTCTCTCTCTTCAGCGTAGCATCCTCTTCCTTATGATAACTAGAAAACAAAAACCTCCGATTTCTAACCTGCCAAAGGTGCCAACGAAGACAAATATCCCTTTTGAAGCAATCTATAGACAGACCTATGTTCAGCAGTGGCTATAATTAATGATTATGATAATTATATTCTAGAATCTTACCGTAAAATCCATTACACTCGCCGGATATTTGTCGACTGATGTTCTTAATGTTTTCGACATGTGTTGACTTGTGTCCCGGCGTACCTTTCAAATGTCGAAACTTCGAAACTTTGCCTGCAAACATAACGAATATAAGAGAAATAATTGTGCAGGTTAAATACATCATGCGGAACAATTCTGAATAAGAAAACTGTTATTGACGCATTCATAGCAAACTGTTTGCTGCTTATAGGAATAAAATGGAATAATTTGCCAGCATCTGTAGTTCCAACGATGTTACGACGGTATCCCAATAAAAATTATAAAAGATAATATTGATTTGTTTAGTAAACCTTTCGCATATTTCTATAATAAATGCATTAGTCAAGGAATATTGCCTGACGAGTTGAAGATTGAGAAAATAGTACTAATAATAATAACACAAAAAATATACAATAACACAATATTAGAATTGAACCGTTACAGACCTACGTATTGCCCTGCTACCAGTCTCCAAGATTTAAAAGTTGATAAAGGTATGTTTGATATCACACTTAAATGTTTTAAATGAAAGACAGTTCGGCAACCAAAAGGGCATAGGAGCCGTAGAAACAGTTAAAACAATAGGTAAAAAAGGTAAAATTGATAACATTTGAAGTGCAAAAGCACTTACTTCCCTTTAAGGACGTTTATTTGATGGGTTATGTATCTTTAAAGATATGAAAATTAATTGAAAAATACACAAATCCACGTGAATAATAATAGTATTTATATGGATATTATGTGTTTATTTCTCCCCATCGAGTTATCATCATCCTAAGCTAGTAAGAAGTTCTTTGCTTGTGTGAAGTGTGAGCGTCTAGTATTTCTCTGCATTGACAGATAACCAAATAATTGACCATGATGACCCCGCATGGTGTGAAGGCTTTAAAAAATCTAATCTATGTAACTCAAAACTTACCAAAAACTGTGGAAGTTCTTTTTGTGGTGACATTGGGCACAGACGATCTCTTTTCCTCGCGATCTGGACTCTTGCGGGATTTTAATGAGTCTCTACGCCTATAATAAAATTAAGATATATTATATTATAAAATATCAAATTAAAAATAGATTTATTTCAGTGCAACTCTACTGTAATAAAAGTATTTAATCGGGATATATCAGTATATCAGTAGTATATATACAGTATCCAAACTTAGTCTTTGAGGACGACAGGAATTAACAGAGATAAATAAGCAGAAAATTTTCTATGTGTTTAAATATGTTCTATTTCCTGCCTAGGAGTGCGTCTGGGTTTATACTACACTAACCTATTTATGCCACTAAAAAGCAGTGTTAAAAGGAAGCTAGAACTGCTGTGTTCTGTTCTCAAAGGTATACATGGTAATTTTTCAAAGATTAGTCAAATTTTAAACTTAAGTACAAAGATATAAATATTGATACACCGTTATTTCATTTTTTTAAATACGAGTAAATAAGGATTCTATTTTTATATGAAACTAGTTGTTCCCGCGACTTCGCTCGCGTGTAATTTAGGGTTTTAATTATGTTGCGAAGAACTCTAATTCTTTTTCTAAAATATAAGCAGCCCAAGTTACTCCTTATAACATCAGCTATCTGCCAGTGAAAGTCCCGTCGAAATCGGTCCAGCCGTTTCGGAGATTAGCCGGAACAAACAGACAGACAGACAAAAATTTTAAAAATTGTGTTTTTGTTATAAGTTCCGTATATACTTCCATATCATCATCATTATCATCATTACAGCCCTTCACAAGTCCACTGCTGAACATAGGCCTCCCCCAAAGAATGCCACAAAACACGGTCCTGAGCCACCTGCATCCATCGACTTCCTGCATGTCTTACCAGGTCGTCACTCCATCTCGTGGGGGGACGCCCTACACTTCGCCTACCGGTACGAGGCTGCCACTCGAGAACCTTTCTTCCCCATCGGTTGTCGGTTCTTCGAGCTATATGGCCGGCCCACTGCCACTTCAGCTTACTAATCCGTTGGGCTATGTTGGTCACTCTGGTTCTACTGCGGATATCCTCATTCCTAAGTTTATCACGCAGAGAAACTCCGAGCATAGCCCTCTCCATAGCTCGCTGAGCGACCTTGAGCTTCCTCATACGGCCAGCAGTGAAGGACCACGTCTCAGTTCCGTAAGTCATCACTGGCAACATGCACTGGTTGTACAATTTCGTTTTAAGGTTTTGAGGTATGTCTGACGAGAAGATGTGTCGTAGCTTCCCGAACGCTGCCCAGCCGAGTTGAATCCGTCGATTGACCTCTCGGTCGAAGTTGGACTTACCCAGTCGGACTATTTGTCCCAGGTAAACATACTCGTCAACAACTTCGAGCTTAGTGTTCCCAACAACTATCGGCATAGGTGTGACATGGACATTAAACATGATCTTAGTTTTGTCCATGTTCATCTTAAGACCTATCCTACTTCCATATACATTTAGTAAAATGCTGTTATTTTGATATTACAAACAGACACTTCAATTTTATTTATTTGTATAGATATTTTAAATATTATCCCAAATTTAATGTGAAATACGCGCGCTCCTCTGTGTGCGATTCAATTTATAACGTTTTTGCCGACCGAATGATCCTTATGAATGCGTGCGTGTGTAGTAAAATAGTAAGCGTTAGTTATTAATAAATGACATAAAATAATACATTTACACGCATTTTGAGTTAAAAATAAAAACGACAGAATATTTGAGATATTTTTTTAATTATTTTTTCTTCACCGTTTGCCTATATTACTTATTCTGAACCTTCTCTGAAAATTCCGCCGATTATTGCAAAATAATCCTGTATAGAGAGACAGTATAATTACCTTTTTTATAGGATAGGGTGACAAACAAGCACACAGTCCACCTGATGGTAAGTGGTTGCTGTGACTCATAGACATCCACATTTATCCTTAATAAAGAATCAAAATGCAGATGCGTCGTCAGCCGTGAGGACTAAGATGGAATGCCTCTTTTCCAGTAAAATGGGTCTCCGGTTTTCTACACTCACTATAGGAATCACAGCAGCGTTAAACTGCTATTTTACGCTGGTATTCCGTGAGAGCGTGGTCCTACCCCGGTTGAGCCGACCCATTCGTGCTACAACTATACTACTAATATAGCTGCAGTATGGCTTTACCATGGGAAACATGTGAGGTATTCAATCTTAGTCTTCAGAAGTGATAACGCATCTGAAGCCTTCTTTGTTTGAAGTTGGCCGTAAGTGTCTATGAGATGCAGTTGCCACTTACCATCCGATGGACGTCTGTTTGTCACTTTTGTTTTATTAAAAAAAATAGAAACATTACTTAAGTTGATTGGTGTATTAAATGTTGGAATAGTTTCAAAATGTTACATAAATTGAATCGGATTTCATATAAAATTATATAAACGATTTTTTATTTCTCAGGTCACTCATATGCAGTGAGCGGTATTAAAATGAGAATTTGCAAAATGCATGACAAACAAATTTAGACGCACAAGAAAAACGTATTTACTGGGATAATTACGAAAAAAATCGCGTCAGTTTAAATAACAGATAGCTAAGTAAATAACGAATAATGGACATTGACAATTTGTGTTATTTGTTTGTATAGGTGTGTCCGTCTCTGCGGCTGTACCTCAGCGGTGCGGGAGAAGCGGGCGGCTCGCTGTCGCCGGCGACGCTGACGGAGCGCGCCTCGTACGCGCGCCGCCGCTCCGCTATGGACTGCTTGCTGCCGCTGAGTTAACAAAACATCATCGTTCACAACTACACACTTTACTTACAAATCAAGACCGCTCCGTGGCGCAGTGGCTTAGCAATGAGTTGCAGCGCTTAAGGCCGCAGATTTGAATCCAGCACAGGACAATTATTTCTATGGCCTACAAATAGTTGTTCCGAATCTGGATGTTTGTCCTTGTGAAATCTATGTATGTAAACTGCCTCCACGATACAGGAGAAAATCCTAGTGTGAAAGTAACGTATTATAAAAAAAATCGCTCACTTAAATTAAGTATTAATTATCTCTATACTTATATCTTTCATCAAATTAAAACTATCGGCCGCAGGGTGGGGTTCTCTCACCTCTCCTGTGGAATATGGTCATTAATGAACTCATCAGCAAATTAAATGACAATCACTTCTATACAGTAGGTTATGCTGATGACCTGACAATACTGGTCTCTGGAAAGACAGCAAGCATAGTGTGCGACCTGACCCAAGCGGCTCTCCGTATAGTGGAGAGATGGTGCAGGGAACACGACTTAACCGTCAATCCAAATAAAACGGTTTTAGTTATGTTCACACAAAAACGCAAGCTGAATAACTATCATCCTCCAAATCTTTTTAGCACAAAACTCCAGCTATCCTCTGAGGTAAAATATTTAGGTCTTACCTTGGACAGCAAACTTAACTGGAATAAACACATAGAAAACAAAATCAACAAAGCTAGTATAACTTTCTGGCAATGCAGAAACATGATTGGCAAAAGATGGGGATTGACGCCAAAAATCATACTGTGGCTTTACAAAACTGTAATTCGGCCCATGATCACATACGGCGCTCTGGTATGGTGGACCAAGACAAATGAAGCCACCATAATTAAAAAGCTTCAGCGCTACCAGAGACTGGCATGTATGGCTGCCACAGGCTGCATGAGAACTACGCCAACAGCAGCCTTAGAAGCGATGCTGGAGCTAACTCCGCTTCATCTACATATACAACAAGAAGCGACTTTAGCTGCCATCAGACTCAAGACCCTAAATCTTTGGAGTAAGAATAGTGTCCCTCATACAGGCATGATTGATAGAATTCACTCAAAAATTCCTATCCTACAAGCCAAATACGATACGATTCCTAAACAATTTGTTTTCGATAAGAAATACAAGATACAGTTAAATGAAAACAGCCAGCCGGAAGGATTAAGCCCAAAAGAGCTTAGAATTTTCACCGATGGTTCTAATACAAATGAAGGTGTAGGTTCTGGAGCTTTCTCTGAAGACCTCAATATTCACATATGCACACCGCTGGGTACCTATAACACGGTCTTTCAGGCGGAATGTATGGGTATCATTCAAGCGGCCATAGCAATAGATGCTAGGAAGGTTAATGACTTCCCCATCAGAATACTGACCGACAGTAGGGCGGTACTCCAAGCCCTGAGATGCAATGTGGTGAACTCGGAACTAATATATGAATGCCCTCAACGATTAAATGAGGTATGTAAAAACAACAATGTGACCCTGCAATGGATAAAGGGACACAGTGGATCCAGAGGCAACGATGCAGCAGACGAACTGGCTAGAAGAGGATCGGCTTTGGCCACTATAGGGCCGGAACCAATCATACCAATCCCCTTTGGTAACGTTTGTTCACTGGTACGTAGACACTTCACTAATCAACACGCTCAGCTTTGGAAAAATCTAGTAGACTGTAGACAAGCTAGGGATGCCCTGCCTGAAATTAACAGTCGCTTAACAAAAGTTTTAATGAGACTGAACAAGCCGCAGATTAGGATAGTAACAAGTGCTATCACAGGACACGGCACCTTTAACAAACATTTATTTACTATAGGTGTTACAGATAGTCCCCTGTGCAGGGCATGTAAGGGAGAGGAAGAAACGGCGGCCCACGTGCTACTGAAATGTCCGGAGGTCGCTACATACAGGGCTAAGCATCTCGGCACGCCGGGATCACTCCCCGAAGTTGCATGCAACATCAAGGGCCTGTTGAGCTTCTTCGGAGAGATCTCATGGCTCGAATAATCACATTATTCCTGCCCACACGCAAAATACGCGCATAGACGTGGAGTTGCGGAAAACAGCCCGTCGTAAACTAAACTAAACTAAACTAAAAACTATCGGCCTTACAATCGTTGTTTATTATCACTCATTTAAATTAAGGATTAATAATCTCTATACCTATCTCGTACTATTTTAATTTAGTGAAATGAACGAGGGCAAAATTAAATACTTTTTAAATTGACATCGATTTATATAAGTACGGCCGTATTTCTATATGAATAAATATTATTGTGTTAAAATATACCTTAATATATATAATATAAAATATCCTCCAAACCGCATTTCGATCATGGCAGCCAGACAACGGTTACTAGCAATCTGCGCAAGACTAATTTGTGTACTCGTGTGCGCAAAGATAGGTGCTCTCTCTATTCCCTCAGGGGTAATTTAGTAAGAAAGGTAATTTAGTCTAATAATTAAGACTAAGTCTTCAGATATTAGATCGCTCATAACTGCCTCCTAAAATATTTTAACACGTCCTAAGTATACCCTGAATTACACTAGTTTGAATTATCTTCAAGACTCTAGCGAAGAAACCCACATATCTGAGAAATTAAATATTTCGAAAACATGTGAAGTCAGCCAACACGCACTGAAATAGTGCGGTAGGCAAATTGCTTCCCGGAAATGAGAGGCCTTTGCTTTAGGACTTATATGAACTATATTTTTTTTCTACTTTACTCTGTTGTGTTGTAAGTAATAATGACTACACATTTACAAACACTGATAACATGGGTTGCTCTATATAGTAACTTACTCGGTGGCTTCGAACATTTTCCTTCTCTCGGCATAGCCTGGTGTCTTCGGCATGTACCCAGAATCGGATGAGTTAATGTCCTCTTCTAGACTTGTGTCGGATTTGCCATTGCTGTAATCTTCTGCTGAATACAGATATAATTGAACTGATATAATCACGGATTCAGTAACATATTGTGTAACATTTACACGAGAATATTGTAAAAAGTCGGCTATATGAGAGCATTTGCATTCGAAATATCGTGGTGAAATAGTTTTTCTATGTTGTAAGTTTGCTAAAATATCATGTTAAAAAAATGTTATAAGCACTATGACCCAGTACGGTAACTAAGCCGGGCGATTATTTATTATATATATTATTTATTAAATATCTCCCATTGTAGGGAAAATTCCCTACAATGGGAGATGTCCATATCCAGTGGACTTTTATGGAATGATGAAGAGCTGCTGGTCGCTTGCCTTAAATTTCGTAGTACGCAAGAAATCAGAGTTCGATCACAGTCAGTGGACACCACTGAAATTTTCATTAATTCATCATAGACTATCATAAGTCTACTGCTCAACATAAGCCTCCATCATAGATTGTCTCGTAGGGGGAATATTTGTAATAGTTGCTTGTCAGGCGAGTTGGCAGATTATTTTTTATTTTCTACAGTTATCAGGAAGATGGCTACACCTGTTGTTTAGTAGTTTCCCTCTGTCGCCTTTTACGATACCAAAGGAATGATACGGATTAGTGGGCTCACTTACACCACCACTACGGCTATACCAATGAAATTGTTAACCGCAAATTATACGTGTTTATTTACCGCTCATTCGACGGTGAAGGAAAACGTCGTGAAAGTTAGATTTTTTTATTATTATTTTAAGTCAGTTTCCCCTGTGGTCAGAGTCGGGACATTTAAAAGTTCTAACTCCACTTTTATTTTACGTTCAGAGTACACTCGCCTTGAACAAGTTTATTTACATTATAGTCGTTTATACTTTCTTTCACTTACGAAACGATAGATTCTCTTACGTGTCTATTACCATACCATTGTCATTACAGCCTATAAAAGTCTACTGCTGAACAATGGTCTCCCTCACAGATTGTCTCATAGGGGGATTTGAGTATAGCCATAGTTGCCACGCCTGGCAACCGTAGTTTATCTTGTTAGTTAGTTTATCTTGCGTTGTTATCAGGAAGACGCTGCCGCCCATCTCATGGTTTTGTTTCCCTCTGTCACCTCTTATGATACCCACGGGACGATATGGGGTAGTGGATATTCATACACCGCCACTACAAGGTCCCTATTACGGTGGCTATTAAAAAGTTTTAATTATAATATTATGAATTATATTTAGAAATATGGTTATAACAGAGTTGTTGCAACATGGTTATATATTAAAGTACCTTTTGTAGCAGGTATCTCCACATCACTAGTCGGCGAAAGCGACTTCTCTTTCTCCTCCGTCTCTTTCGCAATAGGAGTGGAAGTAACAGGCGGCGTCGATGCCGGACCGGACACCGGCGAGGTCACTACAATAATAGAGGCTTAATAATATTTTTTTACTACATTGATTACTATAATAGAAACGATTTTTAATGATACAAGTACTAATCTTAATCTATATTAAATAAATAAAATTGAAGTGTATGTTTGTAATGTCAATATAACAGCTTTTTACTAAACGCATATGGAACTATATACGATACTTATACCAAAAACAATTTTTTAGCTGTCTGTATGTATGTTTGTTCCGCCTAATATTCGAAACGGCTGTACCGATTTTGACGGAACTTTCACTGGTAGATAGCTCATTCTATAAGGAGTAACATAGACTACTAATATTTTATAAAAAAAAGAGAGTTCCGCGCAACAAAACTAAAACCTTAAATTACGCGCGGGCGAAATCGCGGGAAACAGCTAGTGTAATATAATAACATGATATATAAATTTTTAAAATCAATCTATCTGCATAAACTATCTAGTCTAGAGGCACTAAGGTACAGCAGTCAAACTTGAAAATTAATATGAACACAACTATCAGTACATAATGAAAAGACAGAATAAAATAGAATATTTTTTATTCAATATAGATAATAAATAATTCTTATTGATAGGCTTTTTTTGCTTTGACCACTGGTTCGGAAAACACCTATGTCCTAGGAAGAACCAGCAAGAAACCCAGCGGGACTTTCTTTTTCACAGTAGTATTATACAATATAAAATGGACTGTACAATTACGCCATTCCCAGAGGTTAATCAACCATGTATATATTATGATAAGCCTTTATAATATTTTTAATAAAAATTTAAACTCTGTAATCGAAGGACCTTGTATATTTCCGGGGACTTTGTTTTAATAACGTACACACTATACATTATCCCATGAATGTATTACTGACTTTATGGAGTCTAGTAACAGGTATCACTAGCTTATGTTTGTTCCTGTATGTTTTAAATTGAGCCATTTATTAATTAGCCTCATTCAACTCTAACTTCAAAGCAACAATAAACTTGAGAGCTTCCTCATATTCCTTGCTGCATTGATAAAACTCATTAACCGTTCCTTGTAGCTGATCTCTTTATTTTAAAACACTTGTGTAATCTGTATGTAACATAACCATATCACATTTCAATTGGGTATTTTGGCAATAAATTATGGTAACTACTTCCTTTTCATCAAGCAAGTTCAAAGTGCTGCTTGGACGCTTTAAGTTTATGGAGTGCAAGCAGGAGTTGATTTTCCATCTTGTGCGTCTTGACGTTACGAGTATTCATTTTATTATTTATTGTAAATAATAAAAGGAAACAAAAATAAAACACAGAAGGACCAGAGTAAGCTTATGTTGAGTTGTTGTTTATATTTACAAATCTCAAATCAAATTATCATAATAATAATTCGAAAAAAATCGGAAAAGAAAATAGTTTATTTTTAACTAGCTGCTCCCTGTGACTGCGCCCGCATGGAGTTTATTGCGATTGGATTTCATTAGCTTTCATGGGTTTTAATTTTTTGTGTGGAACCCTAATTCTTTTCCTTAAATAAAAGTAGCCCTAAGTTACTCCTTATAACATCAGCTATCTGCCAATGACAGTACCATCCAAATCGGTTCACAGGTTTTTGCGTGATGCGTGTTTAGACAAACGTCGTGTTAAGCTTTGTACAAATTGAGGCGAATCCCGCACGTCATTATTTTTGGTTTCTCAATAGGAAAACATGTCTTTTGATATTGAAGCTGAAGTTTTGTTGTTATTAGCATTAACTGAAGAAGAATCTCAAGATGTCAGGAAGCAAAATAATAAAATGGGTAAATAAGCTGAGTACTCAACGCATAGAATTTGGAGCTTCACACTTTGATACCCACATTAGGAAAAGATAAACCCATGCGGGATTCACGTCAATTTTTAGATGCCAGGGATGGGTGCACACATTATTTACTAGGATCACATGATACCAATTTGTGAATGTTGCTAAAAGACAGCCTGTTCTGCGCCTAATCCCTTTCTAGTCCTATCGGAATGCCGTCTCATCGCACTATGAGAGTAAAGGAATAGTAGGGTGCACCCGTACTTGACACTCGGCCAATCTCCGTATAAAATGACTGTCGTTACCGAAATTCAGTCTGGAGGACACTATTGTGAATTAGTGATCCTTCACTGCTGGCCATATGAAGAGGCTCAAGATCGCTCAGCAAGCTATGAACAGGGCTATATAACCAGAATTTTATGGCGTGATAGGATTCTAAATGACGATATATATCCGCGGTAAAACCAGAGTAATCGACATAGTCCAATGGATCAGTAAGGTGAAGTGGCAATGGGTCGGCCATACCTCGAAGTACTGATAACCGCTGGCGAAGAAAGGTTCTCGAGTGACAACCTCGTACTAGTAAAGTATATATAGGGCGACCCCCAACTAGATGTAGTAACGACCTGTGGCTCGGCACCGTGTTTTGTGGCATTTCTTTGGGGAAGTCTATGTTCAGCAATGGACTTGTAAAGAGTTGAATTATGATGATAACGATTTAACATATTTTCATTATATTATGAGGTTATTTATTAATTATTGTGTTCACTACCCAAATAACTACAGTTGCTGTAATACCCGTTCTACAATCCTCTCATAATAGACAAGAGGCCTATTTGTATGGTGTATGCAGGCTGTTACGTATATACATGTATGTATACTTGGGGAGTGCTTTTAGCCGGGATGGAAGATGTGATTTAGATGTGGACAGGCGTGTCGCTGCCGGGAACAAAGTCAATGGTACCCTGACTGCGTTAGTCAAAAGGCAAGGCGTAGTGAAGAGTGCACGCCTTGCAATACATAACGCAGTGTTGGTACCGACTTTGTTATATGGCAGCGAAACCTGGGTATGCCAGAAGAAGCATAAAAGCAAGTTGAATGCAGTGCAGATGCGATCTCTTCGTAAAATGTGCGGCGTTACCATGGCCGACCGAAAGCGAAACGAAGAGATTCGCAATATGGCAGGTTTGAAAGATGACCTTATCACAAAAATTGATAAGGGCGTGCTTCGGTGGTTTGGGCACGTTGAGCGAATGAGTGAAGACCGAATGGTGAAGAAAATATATAGCGCGAAAGTTAATATTAAAAGGTGTCGAGGTAGACCGAGACTAACTTTCGAAGACCATGTGAGCAAATTGCTCGAAGAGGGTAGGGTCAAGAGTACTCGGATACCTAGACGTGCATGTATGAAGAAGATAATGAATCTGAAAGAAGCGAAAGAGGTATGTAAGGATCGTGACACTTGGCGATCTGTTCTCTCTGGCTACCCCGTCAGGGATTGTGCGTGAAGATAAGTATGTATGTATGTGTGCGTAAAAATATGTTGAACATAGACATTCGGATCTGTACTTTGAGCGTATATTATATTGAGATAAGCATTACATATAAATAAAATATCAATAAATATCTACTTTCATACTTGAATCAGACTTTACGACGCCAGGTACAGCAGGCACAGAGAACACCTTGTCGAAGGAGAACTCCTCGCTACTCGAAGATGCTGAAAACGGTTTTGGTCCCAGACGAGGCTGCAAGTAAATGTCAAAATGTATGAACTTCGTGAATTTTTTAGTACAAAAAATTATAGGAAAACCTAAACTTGAGAACATTCTCTATAGCAACTATACTCTAGGATAATATTACTTCGAGTTCAAATTCACTGACTGAAGCAAACAACAACTTTTATCGTGCTGAGACTTACATTTAGATTTACGCTTAATTACAATTTTCAATGTATGATCGGAATTAAAAATAAAAGTAAAATTATGTGAATTCTACACGTTAAGTGGGCAATTCTTGCATATATATGTACTTATATAATGTAATTGTTTCTCGGAAAAGGCTCTAATGATTTGGATAAAATTTTATATTTACATAATTTTTACTTTCCAAGAAGATAGGTTTAGGTCATTAATGAGAAAATTATAATTTATTCTCTAACGCCGAACAAGGGTCGTTCGCACAGGTACTAATTAAAAATGTGTACCAATAGAATGCAATCAGAACTCTGGATAATCACTAAACATAAATATATATTTTGTAAAATGACATAAATAAAATTGTAAAATGATTGAACCAATTATATCAATGATAAAAACATTTTTTTTTTAATAACTAACAGCAACAAAAACAACTAAATCAAGCTTATTTAACAAGAAATTTTTGTGTTATTAAAAAAAAACAACAATATTACATAAATATTAAAGTGCACAAATCTACACTACACAACACAACTTGCAATAAAATACCTTATATCCAACAGAACCTGTGCTAGTTCTAGGTTTGGGTTTAGGCGCTTCAGAATGTTCGTCCATAGACCCAGCCTCGGATATTGATGACCTAGGCAAAGGTTTCGGTGCCTGCACTGGAATACCATTAATTAAACTGTTACTTCTTGACAAGGTACACTCAGTAGACTCTGTGCTGTCGGTTTTCTCAAGTGGTTTTACGCTTTCCTCAGTCGATTCAGCGGAATTTTCCGTCTTCTCTGAAATATGACATATTTCCCTTTCATGCTTTTCAAATTCAGCATCTTCAAGTTTCTTCTCATTATAGTCATGACCATTATCTGTGATTTTTTTATGAAAACCATTTGTATCTTTCGTGTAATCCTTGGGTTCGACGGTCTGTCTCTCCATGCCTTTAATTAGATCTTTTACGTTAACGAAATCGATACGGTCCTCGTCTCTTGGTTCTGGAGGTGGTTGCGGCTTTGGTGTAGAGGGTTCTTCAATTTTTTGCGTCACTATTTGCTTGGTTTCAGCTTTCTTTAGAGGGGGCATTGCTTTGATTGCTTTCACCATTTCTTCTAAATTCCCTCGATGAACCTATAAATAAACACTTAACTATAAATCTATATAATATATGTGGCGGCGCTATCGTCCCGTATAAATAATTTTAACAATGTGGTTAATAGTTTTTTTTTTATTAATATAAAACAAAATAAATAAATATATTAATAAAAACAATACTAAATTTACTTACTTTCAAAAAACACCCAACTAAACTAATAATCCAAGCCACAATTATTAAAGAAATAAACACTACACCATAACTAAAAACTACAATAAAAAAAATCACGCAGCAAATAAACAAAAATAAAAAAGACGAACACTCGAAATAAATACATGCAATAATTAGGAAATATAAATCCACTTAATTTAAGGTATGAACCTTAACCTTCAAAAGCCAATAAAAAATTAAACCATAAAGAAAACACCATTTTAGTCAATATTGTTATATTTTGTTTTGTTGCCAGTTTCAAAAAAAATATTTGTAGACTTGTACAAATATTTTTTTAAACTAGCACTCTAGGACCTTGGACAAATGGAGTTACAAAAGTTACCAAATAAAAAAAATGGTTTCAATTCGTTTATATATTATAACTAAATAAAAAAAGAAAATATTCATATGTAATTACAAATAATTCTCACACATAAATACGAAAAATGTACTCCATAGGAAGGCAAATTATCAGTTTAAAATTCTCTGTTTTTCTTTTGTTTCAAGGTTATGCCTATAATATTTTCAGTAGAATAACACTGCAAGTGTATTAGGACCGCAGCACAAATGGATGATTCAACCAGGAATGAACCTAGTTCTAACAAAATATACTAGTGTTAAATAGCAACATAATGGTGAAGAGACATCCCTTTTATTAGGCCTCAGGGGGGTTCTTATTAGAGGATAGATGTAGTTATCTGTGTACCGCAGCAGGATCCAATCACCATCAGATGGAATGTGCGTTTGTCAATCAAATAGCATTAAAAACAAGGTGGTTTAACAGAAATGTTTCGTGTTTGTTTCACTTCTAAAAAATAAAGAACTATTTTCCATAATTTTAAGAGTGGTTAGTGAGGATTAGTTGCTATAGCTACAACAATCTACATGGTTAATTAAAATTCCAATTAATTAGCTTAAATATTTGATAATGGGATGAATAAAAAGACAGAATTTAGTATATAATAACATATAAATAGCATGGTTTACAAATTTAAAAAAACGTTTAGTTTCACTTTAGACCTTTTCTATAATGCAAAAATTGTATGAAATCTACCTCTTTATAAAATAAAATACTAGTTAAACAACTTACGAACAACAATAAAGTAAAGTAAGGTTACAGTCTACATAAGGGTTGTTTTGCAATAACCGGTCAAATTTGTAGAAAAGGTTCAGAATAAGTAATATAGACAAATGGTAAAGAAAAATTAATAATTTTGTTCTTTTTATTTTTTAAATTCAAAATGCATTATTTTAATTTATTGTCATTCATAAATATCTAACGCCGACTATTTTACTACGCACGCACACATTCATAAGTCGATCCGTCAGCAAAAACGTTGTGAATTGTATCGCACACAGACGAGCGCTTGTAAGCGTAGTTGTTGCCCATAAATCACATTCAATTTGGGATAATTTCAAATAAAAGTAGAAGCCTTATTTACTCGTATTTTTAAAAAAAACTGCAATAACGGTATATTATTATTAATATATTAGAACTTAAGTTTAAAATTTGACTACTCTTTGAAAACAAACATGTATACATCCCACAACGGCACTGGGCTCCTCTCTTTTCTGAGAGGGTTTTGGGGCAAGGAAGTATCTACCGCGCTATCAATGTGTGCTGTCGGACTTTACAAGTACTTGAATAAAAAAAAAATTTTCTTTTTATATCAAGTTTTGCAAGGTTCCACACGATGTTTTCTTTCGCCGAGTACGTAATAAATCAGCAAATCAAATTGTAATAAACAATTTCATTGATGCCGACAGGAATCGAACCCGAGTTGCTCTCGCACTATATAACTTACAACTAGCGTTTAGGCCCTGAGCTATTACGGCTCTACAAACTCTTAAATTTCCAAAATATTAATTTTGAATAAGAACAAGGTTTCTTCATACACTTCGTATATACTAAAATGGATCGGAAAAACGGAACGGAACGGAGCAAATAAGCTTATGTTCAGCAGTGGACATGTGAAGGGGTGTCATGATAATGGTGAAGCTAAGTTATTGCGTTTTACTATCTTCAGTTACATCACCACTTACCTTCAAGTGGGATAAATAGTCAAGCACTGAATTATAATTATTAGTTAAAAAGTAAAATACTCATATACGTAAATGCTAAAGCACAAGCATGATTAATGTTTGTACTAGGAGGACATAGAATGATGGAGGTATTAAGAGACTTAACTAATCATTACGATGAGGAAAGTGGGACACGGCCTCCCCGTGCTACTCGCGAGTGTGTGTGCGCGTGTGAGCGAGTGTGCGAGTGTGCGAGTGAGCGTGTGTGCGTGTGTGCGTGTGCGTGTGTGCGTGAATACGTACCTGCGTGTGCGCGCGCGCGGTGGGGTGCAGCGAGATGCTGGGCACGGGGCGCTCGTCGCGCCGCAGCCACATGTCTGCGCTCACGTACGTCACGGCGCCGCGGGTGTCCGGGTACAGATCCGCGTGGTACTCGCGGTAGCTCTGCAACCGCAACATACATATTGTTTTTGGACTAAAAGCTTCTTTAGGCACGTTGGCGTTGGGCACTTTGGGATAGGGTAGAAGCACTGAACTCGTGTGACCGTCACTCTTAGATACAGAGTATATATAAAAATAAAGTTTTCAAGTTTATGAAGCTAAGAAGTTATCACTTCTGACTTGCAGTCATACGACTGACAGTTTATAAAAAAAAATAAGGATGACAATCGAACACACTATTACCCAATTGTAAGTGGATGCTGTGGCCCATAGACATCTACATTTATTCTCTATAAAGAGAAAAGAGACAAAATAGACTAAAAAGAGGACTAACTAAACTCACCATACGAAACAGAACAGCATTATTCTGCCATTTTACACTGGTATTGTGAGTGTGGTTCTACCCCAGTCGATCCGACCCATTCGTGATGCAACCATAATATATCTGCAGCGTGGCTCTACTACGTAAAAAATGCGTCATCGACTCCTCAATACTCTGCCTACATACTTTCAATACGGCAACTACTATATGCTACTGAGTTTTCAACTGCGTACAACAAATTTATGTATACTCGTACGTTTCTAGAAAATACGTCAAATTCCCGCAACTATATACATAAATAAATTACACATAAACTTACGCCCTGTAAAAATATCAAACCTGCAACCGAATCGTCGCGCTATAAATTAGCGATAGTTGAAATCAAACTTTTACAACGGTTGTTCTTTCGATATATCTATTTTTCATCGATATCGATATCGGTTTTAAAGATAGTGTCAATCAAACTCTTTGCGCTACCGATGAATTATTCACTTCATCTCTTTCTCGCAACTGGGTGCAATAAAAAGAAGAATGTTGCCTAAGAAAGGTGTATCTTATTTTAATTTATTGGAACGAAGTTCCTTATCGCAGGGTACGAATTTGGTGGCGAGAAAAAGGGTAAGATTTTTACGTCACGACTCATTCTATAGTGCGAGCGAGATGGAACAATAACCATCTACCTCGTATTTTTTAGGGTTCCGTACTCAAAGGGTATCCAACGGAACCCTATTACTAAGCCTCCACTGGCTGTCCGTCCGTCCGTTCGTCCGTCCGCCCGTCCGTCTGTCTGTCAGCGGGCTGTATCTCATAATCCGTAATAGGTAGTCAGTTGAAATTTTCACAAAATGTGTATTTCTGTTGCCGCTATAACAACACATAATAAAATTAATATAAATTAAAAATTAAAAGGTGATCCCCTACTAGAAACGTGTATTACGATGGTACGGAACACTTCCTGCGCGAGTCCCACTCGCACTTCGCCGGTTATTCTTATCTTGCCATGAAAAAAATATTATTTTAAAAGACGCTTCATTTTAATAGACGCTAGTAATTCATTTATTTGTACTTTGTTAATCAATAATAATATACTACGAAAGGAACTTCGTTCCAACCGCGTGTTTCACGACACTCACATATGTTTTTTTATCGACTTAATCCTGTTGAAAAGGTAACCAATTTTAGATGTGATTTGATATTATAATAATTTTAAGTTTTATGTTAGTGCTTCGAAATCTATTGTTACACACTAATTACAAGATTAGTTAAAATAAAACGTTCGAAATAGAAATAATATATCTTTTATTAATAAAATTTGCAGCATAATCTTTTCTTCAAAAAGGACCTTCTTTAAGGCTTCCTAACTTAGCCCATAGGTATTACGTGATAGAGCCATGCTGCGCCTATATTAATAGTATAGTTGTAGCACTAATGGGTCGGCTCGACTGGGGAAGGACCACGCTCTCACAGAATACCAGCGTAAAATAGCAGCTAAATGCTGTTGTGTTTCGTGTGGTGAGTGTAGAGAACCGGAGACCTATTTTACTGGAATAGAGGCATTCTATCTTAGTCCTCATGGCTGACAGCGCATCTGCATTTTAATCCACAAACGAAGATAGATGTAGATGTCTATGGGCCACAGCAACTACCTACCATCAGGTGGACTGTGTGCTCGTTTGTCGCCCTTATTCTATAAAAAAAAATCAGCTTAACACCAGCATCAGATGTCAAACGGCCCCTTGTGAAACCGAATTGATTTTATTTTTTCTTTACATTAAAAAATATTAAATTTGATCAAGAATAATTTATTCAAAAAATTTACTAAGTATTTTACCTTCCTGGGAACCTGATACATTATGGGGACTACAGAAGAGCTGGTCAGTTGCAGAACTCTATTCACTTCACCTTCCATCACACGAACCGCACGCTTCGGCACTAAGCAAGCGCCCTTGGTTTGCTCGCCTGGATCAAAATATGTACCATTTAAAACACAGTGTTAATATTGGTGACGTCATTACAATCCGACTCATAGGAATCGTAAGAAGCGACTACGGGAAACGCTTAAAAAATCTCACGGCCTCCAATACAAGGTGTAACAACGAACGAACAAAAGAAGTGCCAATCCACGAAGGATCTGGCAATATCAGATAGCTCGGACCTTTGACACTGCTCTTCGTCGCCGGTGTGGGTTTCCTACGTCTGACGTCAATGAAATAATCAAAAACCCATATCCAGCAGTCGGAGATCTACAATTACAGGCAGTGAGGCAATTCATCCAATTCCTCAGATGATACCTTCTTGGTATAAAGTTGGTTGAAAATGTCTATGGGCTGTAGTAGCCACTAATCATCACATAGATTGTTAGGACATTTGACGTTTAAATAAAAAAAATCTTCATAATATGGAAGCTACGAAATACCAGAATAGTGTATATGTAAAGATAACATATTAATCTATATAAGAAACGACAATGATAATATGTTCATATTTATTATCGTAGTATATAACTAGATAAGAACATGTCTGAAATGAATAGGTTTATCAATTTATTATTTAACAAACATATTTAGATTTATTCATGAAATCTATAAGCCATAAGTCACAAGTCTTATCTTTTAAGGCAATATTCTCAAGTGAAAAACATATTACTATTATCCTAACTGTTACGGCCTATTAAAATCCACTGCTGAACGTAGGCCTCTACCATAGATTGCCCCATAGGTTGGCAACTGCAGTCTTTTAAGTCGTTACTAGGAAAAACGCTGCTGCCGATCTCTCGATTCGTTTCCTTCTGTCGCCTGTTACGACATCCTGTTGTGGATATTCTAATATCGCCAGTACACGGAAAAACATATCGTTACATTTATATTAAGTGCTTAAATTAATGGCACGTAAAAAGCATAAGAAGCCTCACAGAAAACGTCAATATACAGGTTGTCCCAAAAGTCGACGTCAAGCCGGAATCGGGTGATAGTACAAATTATAATAGTTACCAGAAAAATATAAAAAAAATCTTAGTCATGTATTTTTTAAATTACTATAATTTCTTTTTTATTTTAATCGAAAAAAGTAAAGATTTGTAACTAAAGGAGCTAAAAAACCATACATTTTTCAAAAACAAAAATTACTGTAATTTAAAAAATACATGACTAAGATTTTTTTTATATTTTTCTGGTAACTTTTATGATTTGTCCTATCAGCCCATTCCAGCTTGACGTCGACTTTTGGGACATTCTGTATATATATATATATATCTGCTATAATTTGTATGGTGAGGGATGAGAAACGGAAACTCAAGTTCTAAGTAAACAAGTATAATATTTTAGTGCTTAGCTTCCAATAACACGCCTCTTCAAACCCAAACCCAGAACATTTATTTTGTCGGTTGTAGATCATACAAATTAATTATACCATTTTTGTTCCGCAGTAACAAAAATTAATTATTTTTAATCTGGAGGTAGCCGTGGTTAACTATGACATTGGGACGTCATACACGTCAGCCCCCCCCCCCCCTCCCCGTGACCATGGGTGCTGTAAAGTGCTCGAAATGTCGGGAATATAAAATAAATTAAAATACTCAACAAAATCTGTTTTATTTAAAATGATATTTTTTAGTAATTTTTCGATTAATTTAAAATCAAAAAGCAAGTAACGTAATGCAACAATTACACTTACCAGAATGCCTCAAGCCCTCAACCAAATACGGCTCGCGGTCGGTCAGCTCCATATAAAGTATGGTGATATCGCCCTTCCCAGCCAGGAAGAGCATATTCGTATCGGGATCGAAGAGCGGCATCAGTATCCCAGTGGAACAGTCCAGTTCCAACGTCTTCTGTGTTTCCGACAGATTCCTAATGTCGCGAATCATGATCTGACGGAGACGCGCGGAATCGAAACCTGCGAAATAAAATGTCTTCAATGTTTCAAGTTCCTACCCGATATTCGGCAGCGAATCCACTACTTTTAACCAACTCGAGTATTCCAACAATCACAACATTAACACATGAATAGAATAGAGTAGAATAATTTCTTATTCAATATAGATTAAAAGTAATTCTTATTGAAAGACGTTTATTCTGGTCTTCATTTGACCACTGGTTCGGAAAAAATACCTCTGTCCTCGGAAGAACCAGCAAAAAACCCGGCGAGACTTTTTTTTAAAGTCGTTTTCATGTAAAAAGGAATGATCCGAGTGTTCACGAATATTGACTCCCGCTGATTGTTTCACGCGACTTTGTTCGAGAACGTTTTAAATTTTACGTTAAATATGCATGGTTACAGAAAACAAAAAAAGAATATAATAAGTTTGTGTTAGAGATTCGTCTTAGTCTTAGATCGCCAAGGATAAACTTTACACAAATACGTTTTTGGTGTATTATGGCCTTAACAGTGGTTGAAATGCCTAAATCTAGGATATGTAAGTAAAAAAATCTCAATAACTGTTCATTTAATCCACAAAGAAAAAATACAGGGTAACAGAGGAAGATTTGGTAAATGTTTTTAATTTAACAAAATTGTATTTTTGTCAACCCCTTATTAGAAAAAAAATCCCCAAAGAGTACCTATCTTTGTCATATTTTGCAAAATTTCTCCAAAACGGCACAAGCTTTTTAAATAGTTCTTACACTAAAAAAAAGGTCTTAAAAATATTAATATTTTTAATTGAGAGTTTTATTTTTATTACCCGTTTTATAAGAGAATATATCATTTTTCCCTGAAATTGAATATATTTACGCGAGCGCGCATGCTCCGTCGCCATGTAAGCTCTGTCACAGTCCGCAGGGCATAGAATCTTAGTACATTAATGCTTGAAAAACGCTATTATTATTATACTAAATTTAGATGAACCAAAAGAACATATAAAGTCTATGAAACGTATAGTTTTTAGATTTTGTCGTATTATAATGTACTAGATCCATCTGTTGGCACAAGATGTCGCTTCTGTTGATGTAAGAAGATAAAATTAAAACGCGAGGTGGTTATGACATTCAACAACCTATTTGACAACATTTTTAAAATGGTCGCATTGAATTGAGTGCAAATTCCTCCAATCTGACATACAGAGTACAGACATAATTAAAATTATTGCGTTTATGAGAGTTTGAGACAAAGATTCTTATATTTTGAGTGTTGTTTTAGCGGCAGGGACTCTTCATCTCCTCAATATTTCTAGTAAAAAGTATTGTGTTCACGGCTGCATGGACTCTGGAAGTAAGTATATTCCGTAATTTGATAAGATTTAAACTAAACATATTATCAAAAATCTCTTGCATCTGCTCTAAGATGTTTTTAAAGTAATCTGCTATGCCTGGTATGGACGGCTGTAGGCTGATATCCATATTAATATATTATTATATGTAATAAATGTAAGATTGTGATTTTGAAGTTAGGCGGACTTCCACTGGAGTGATGACCTGGTATATGATGTAGGTGGCTAAGGACCGTGCTTTGTGATTTTTATTGAAGAGGCAAGAGGCCTATGTTTGGTCTGTAACGATGATGATGATGATGATTGTTTGTTTTATTTAATGTTATAGTCCATGCTGAAAAAATTTGTCACCATAATAATAGTGTACTGTAAAATATCAGTTTATTAATAAATAATTTGTATTTGACACAATTGATTGTACTTGTATTAGAATAATAATAATAAAAATATTTCTATTCTTTTAATCAGTCCAGTGTAAGTCTTATGTACTCATGACTAAATTAAATTATGTATGTAGTCTTAAAAATTGTATGTTAATAAAAACAGAGAGACCATCACCTCATTTTGTCCCATGGGTGTTATGTTATAACAGATATATCAAATAATCTCATGAGTTCTGTTTAGTCGGCGGTATAACCATCTCGTTTACGCCAGACGTAAAATCCAAATTGACGATGGACAAGCTGTGTCAAAGGTGTTCACGTCTAGATCTATGATTGTCAAGCCACCTGCCAAGCATGACAGGCTCAAGTCCAGCAATAAACTTTAATAGGCCAATAAAGAAGAATAAAGTCACAAAAAACTTGCTGTGCTCTGATAATACAAGTGTTTATTAATGGATTAATTAGCTTTTTGTTTTTCAGAAAAAGGCATTCTTCCAAGAGAATATGCAGAAACTGCCGAAATTCTCCTCTTTTTTGACAAGGTATTCGATTCTGTTAATGGCAGCTACAATAAAGAAAAAACTATATGTAAAGCCTCTTCTTGGACCAGCAAAGCCAAACTCAGAACACAATAACATGAAATTTATAAATAAAATGTCTAATAATCATGAGAGTGTATCAACAATAAAAAAATGGGTATGGACACTACTTGGTGTATAAATTCTTTTGAAAAATTGGAAACTAAGTATGGTATTACTTCTGTTTGGATGCGGCACCTCAACCAAGACCCTATTGAAAACTCTTTTGGAACCATTAGAAGCTATGAGTGCCGCAATGTTAATCCAACACCAGTACATTTTCAGAGTGCCTACACTACATTTTTAATTAACAATATGTCCAGTGTCCATGCCTCAGGAGCTAATTGTGAAAAAGATAATTGTACGGCTTTAGAATCTGTTATCATCACAGATAACTGCAAAGCTGCTGCAACCTGTGTCCTTGAAACAATCCTGGATGTATATATAATTGATATTAAAGAGAACACTGCTCCATATATAAAGGGGGCATTAGATTATGTTAGTGGATACTTTGCTAGATGTGCTAAAAAATGTTTTTAAAAATTGTAGTGAATGTACTGCTAAAATATTCGCCTTACAAGAAAATGAAATCATTAACTTAATATGCAGGTAAACGGTGGCTTTGCAGTCCCACTGAGTCTCTTATAGTGTGTGTATCTGCAGTGAAAGACAACAAATTCAGTATTAAAAATATTTAGGTAGAGACAATGTTGAAGAATTAATAAAAATCTTGATACTAATTCATGTAGATTTTGATGTTTTGCTATGTAAAATAAAATAGTCTTGCCGCTTTTTCATATTCAATTATGTGTTGTATGTGTCACAATAATGAAGATGTGTTTCAAATGAAAGCCAAAAAATATTTCCACAAATGTATAAAAGACGTTTTATGCAATAAATCACTTAACTTTCTGAAATGAGTTTTTATTTTTACCTCAAAACCTATACTTATTGTAAGAAAAATTTCTTACATTAAGTAAAAAGAAAAAACATAAGGAAACAATAATTTAGTATAGTATAAAATACTATATAGTAGCTATATATACTACGTGTATAGTATAGCTATATGATAAATATAAATTGTTCCATCCGACACCACCAGACGGCAGCACATTCGTGAATTCATTTTTGGGCTTGAGATTCGTCTCTATTTCAGTATATATAAAAGTACTCTGTGACAGTCCGTTTTCGGACATCGTCGAGGGTGGACCGTACGTCGGTGTTGGAGCGACTTCGTTCAAATATATATTAGTTTTTTAAAACTTTATACTCAATTATAAATATTTTTATGACTAGAAATACTTAATTTAGTTAATATCTGTACACTGGTAACTGTAAATATTATTTTCTAAATAAATGAATTTTTAAAGTGGCCAAAGAAGAAGAAATTTTTGCGGCGACGTTGATTAATGAAATTGAAAAATGCATTTTTATATAATTTAGATGTGGAACGACGAACATGCTCTCGTTACTTAGATTGCGATAGTTTTTAATACCTATGTAATTTTATTGTTGCATATTTTTATTAATTAGTTGATAATGAATTTTATAATTATGTATTACAATAAAACACTGTTTTTATAAGTATGACTTTATAAAATATTATTGGAGAGAGAAATAAAGATACAGATACTTACATTTAAGTACACTGTTATCAAATTAAATCAAACAATTTAAATAAATAAAAGAATGGTGCTTACCTAAGTATAAATAACTATATAAAGACATTCTTGGGTTTATGGTTTTTTTTTTGTTAGACAAACTATCATCTAAAAAATTTAAAAATTTTAAATTGGAGAGGGGTTTCTCTACGTGATAAAGTTAGAAATGAAGGAATTTGCATTAGAACCAGAGTAACTGACATAGCTCAACGGAATATAACAGTGAAATGGCAATGGGCTAGCTATATAACTTGGAAAACATATAAAAAATAGGAAGAAAGGTCCTCGAGTGGCAACCTCGTACAGGTAAGCGAATAAGTACTCAACCTTTATTCCTCTTCACGTATTCTCATACGCTTTTCTTCACACACACACACACGCACGCACGCACGCACGCACGCACGCACGCACGCACGCACGCACGCACGCACGTCCGCACGCACGCACGCACGCACACACACACACACACACACACACACACACACACACACACACACACACACACACACCACACCACACACACACACACCACCCACACACACACACACACACACACACCACACACACAACACACCACACACACAACACACCACACACACCACGCACACCACACACACCTCACACACCACACACACCACACACACCACACACACACCCCACACACACACCACACACACACACCACACACACACCACGCACGCACACACACACACACACACACACACACACACACACACACACACACACACACACACCACGCACGCACGCACACACACACACACACACACACACACACACACACACACACACACACACACACACACACACACACACACACACACCACACACCCCACACACACACACACACACACACACACACACACCCACACACACACCCACACACACACACACACACACACACACACACACACACACACACACACACACACACACACACACACACACACACACCACACACACACACCACACACACACACAAACACACCACACACACACACAAACACACCACACACACCACACACACACACAAACACACCACACACAC